GTGGTGAGTGGTGGAGTTTTGAGTGGTTTCATTTCTGCCACAACCATCCGCTCGCGGAAACCCCTTTTCCAGAATCCAGAATTTTTACTAATTTTAATAAAGCGCCAAAGGAGACAAAGGCGTTTTTGCCAGAGGAAGAGGTGTGGGTTGGATGAACAACGAAGACGCCGCAACTCGATATCACAAGACAAAGGCTCACATCAAGAGGAAACCACGGGCTAGGGCTACACCTACGCCTTGAGTTGCTCCTCAGCCACCGCAGTTAACCCCCTAAAGTGTGTGCGACAAGGGGTTAAGGGACTGGGAACTGGGAACTGGGAACTCGGGGCCTGCCACATAGCATTCCGGCTTATTTCTTTCAATTTCGGTTTTAACTCATTTCGCAACGCGGTTTCTCATTATGCAGACATCGCAGCTCGGAAAATGCCGCTAAGGATGTGAGTGGAAAACGTAGAGAAAGTTCAGGGAAAATTCAATGTGTGATTATTTTTAATAGATACCTTCAAAAATAATAATCCAAATAATCCATAAGGATTGAGATAAAAAGTATTTATTTCCGTTTCTTTTTTATACTTTGAATATATGAGAATAATATTTTATTTATTTATAAATATACAATTAAGTGAAGTTTTACCCACTCTATTGGCTTTTAATAAGGATATGAGTTAAAAACATTAAAAACATATCATAGAATATTATATTTATAATAAATTTAAAAAGATAATTCAAAAATAATAATCCAAATAAACCATTTAACATGTTTTATTCATAGATTGGCCTCAAAATATTTATTTCCGTTTTCTTTCTGTACTCAAAACTTATGAAAATAATACGTAAAATACAAAAATAATAAAAATATCTTTTTAAAGTGGTTTATTTGAAGTTTTACTTTATAAGTGAAAGTGATATGAAAATAATATTTTATTTTATTTTACAACAATATTTTTTTTCTTTCCTTGTAATGCTTTTTGGTTTTCCTTGCTGTTAATAAATAAACTATTGATGAAATTTCCGACGGTTCTTATAATATATAAGTCCGGACTGGACAAGAGTTTTCCATCAGGAATCTGAGTTTTGAGCAAGGCCACCACTAGCCCCAAATGAATTTTTCGTGTTCGGCGGTGGAAAGCTGGAAAATTCGAGTATATCGGATGGAGAGTAAGGGGAGGGGGAAGGGGAAAGGGGAAAGGGGGTTTCGAGGGTACGGGAAATGTCTTTCTCTTGGCAGAAACCGCGAGGCCTCGCATCAGCGGCACATTTGTGTGCAGTGCTGCTGCCGCAGCCACTGGGAATTTAACCCTTTACTCGCCAAAAAAAACCCCCCTTAACCCCTTTCCCAGCCCCCTCCCCTGCGCTTGTGTGTGGCTGTGTGTGTGTGTGTGTGTGTATGCCAGCCAGTGGATTACTCAATTAATTTAATTATGCGCTGTCAATCATTTCGTTGCCTTGGCCCAGGAACTTACTTACTTTCTCTGTGGCTGTCTGCCTACTGGTGCCACGCCTTCTCCTAGACGCCACCCCCCACGCCTTAACCCCACGCCGCTGACGCCCATCGGTCTGGGCAAAAAGTGACTTATTTTCTTGTTGCCACTTAATTTTTGTTGTCCTTAGATTTGCGCCAACGTCTGTGGCCGCTCAGCCGCAGCCTTTTCCCCTTTTAAAAACCCCACCCACCTCCTTTTTCATTTTTAACCCCCAACCCCCTCCGTCGACTACTTATTTTTCTTAACCCCTTGCCTGTGGCACATTTCTTGGAGGACGAAACACTGAAAGCTGCACAGAGAACACATTAAAATATAACAAGAAATAGGGTCCACTAAAGCGAAACCCATAAGCCAAAATGATTTTTTTTATATTGAATAGTTTTATACAAGGTTAACATTTAAGCATCAGATGTAGGTTTATTTGAGTGAATAACCAAAAATGAAACAAATAAAATAAAATGAATATAAATATAAATAAAAATAAGAATATGTCCTAAAAATTATAGTTTTGGCTTACTTAAAGTGAAGAAATGATTTTGTGTTGAGTTTATAAACGACATTCTTAATTTAAACCATTTAAAATATTTGAAATTGTATTTTATGTCTAAATTTCATTAAAAATGTATTTCTTTGTAATATTTAAATATTTTGTTAACTATAAATAAACATAAATTATGATTTAAAACAAGATTTATTAAATACATTTTTAAAATCCTATAGAAAAGAGGCTAAGGCTACAACTGAAACAACAAATATACATAGAAATAGATTAATAATTTAATATGTCAAAGAAAATGTTGTTTAAAATATGTTGCGATTTTACATTAAGCACAAATGAATGTTGTGTTGCAATATTAAATGTGAAATTAAATAAATTAATTTTTTTTTTTTTTTGCTCAGTGCAACACTGAGGCACGCAAATTTTGAGTGATGTCGCCCCCACTCCTGTAGCAACCCCCTCCGCAGTTGTGCCACCCCCCGCCCCTGGGATAACCGCGACCGCTTGGAAATAAGAGAAATCATTTGGTGTTTTTGCGTTTACGTAAGACACGGGCTCCGAGCTGCTAATCCCCCGAAACCCCGAAACCTCGAGCTCCCCGCCAGTAAACCCCTTCATGGGAGTATATACTGTAGAGACCATCCCATTCCTCTGATCCCGAACTGCAGATTTCCATCAGCTTTGTGTTCTCTTCCTCGTCATGTTGACTTTTCCATTTCTGGCACTGTTTTTTCCTCTTTTCCGCTTCTTCAGCGCGTTTTCCCGGCCTTCTTCTTATGTGATTTTTTTTTTGCTTTCTTTGAACCAAAGGAGTCGTCTTCTGGCGTCTTCTGCTGCGAATATCCTGCGTATATCCTGCGGGCTTTGTTTGCGCCTGTATTTGCTTAAGCTGCACATGCCTGCGTGTGTGTATGTGTGCGTGGTGTTTGCTTACATGTGTAAATTACTTTTCAATCTTGTGATTACTTTTTTCCACATTTAATTATTTTAATTACGGCCCAGTGCACACAAGCAGCTTCCGCAGGTCTTTCCATTTTCGCCACCGAGAACCCTTGTCCCAGGAACTAAATCAAAGAACCCGTATACCATCCTTTTTGCCCTACTCAACCTGAGACTCTCCAAAATTGGGTGTGCCGAACCTAAGACCCTAAACTAATGTTAAAGAATTTTAGTATTCGGTGTTCTTTTTGTCGTTATCAATTGAACTGAAAGAGAACTATTAATTGAGCATATCGATGGGTACTGTCAAGGCATTTCAGAACAATTGGTAGTCTTAAAAACTCAAAGAACAATTAACAAATATAACTAAGAAAAGCTAAAACTATAAAACATTAACTTTAACATTTTAACTTCACATTTAAAGTTTAACTTTAATTTAAATGCCACCCGAAAGCCAAAAATTATTTAAAAACAGCAGAGTTTTAATTATCTTTAACATAGTTTGTGATAAGTTTGTCAATACAATAATAGGAAATTTTCCAATAATGTTTAGCATTTAAAATTTTGCAATATTTAGCTAATTATTTTTTTTTTTGTTTTTAAGACAAGTGGATTATTAATTATTGTGATCAATTGGCACCGCCAATCGTTCTATCTTCTTATGTTATGTTTGTTAAAAAATAAAAACGGTTTGTTCGATTTGACAGATATTAATAACCGAAATATAAAAGATCATAAAGGATGAAAATCAATTAAAATTAAACGAGAGTTTTGATTTTGTTTAAAAACCTGCACACTCTTCCAAAAAATCACCTATTAATTAGTCTTATTCGTTGACTTTGGAGTATCTTAATCACTGAACAGCAGAAAAAAAAAGCACACAAAAAGCACACATGTGGATTCCGACTTGCGGTGATGATTGATGATTGATGAATGATGGCGGTGTTTTCCGACAGTCGGTTCTCGGTTCGATCGGTGAGTGCTTGGCTGCAGCACCTGAATCAGCAGCTGGAAAATGCGTCAATTAGCCGCATTGCAAATGGACTTTCCCAGCTCTGGATCTCAATCTGGTTGAAGTTGAGGAATTGTGGTACTCTGCACCTGGATCCGAATCCAGTGCGATCTTCGCTGGACGACGGACTGCTGGCCACGAGACCACGGAGGAAATCCCTGCACTTGAGTCGACAACGGGATAAAGTCATTTGTGGGCTGTGCTGCCGGCGTCGCTGCCCAGAGTAAATATCGTCCGAAAAAGCCGCCCTCCGTTGTTGTTTTGCCAGGACTTTGACGTTGGATTTTTCGGAATAAAATGGAGGGTGGCGCAGTGCGCCGACTCGCAACACTGTTATACTGTTATACATGCAAGGGGTGAGAAAGCATTTCAGTTCGGCTTTTTACTCCGAAAAACGGCGCGACTGCGACGTCGACTGCAATTTTGCAGTGCGTTCGAAAGTTCGACAACTTTGGAAAACTGTCAGTTGGCAGCGAACTTAGAACAGGTAGAGACGCACACGTTCCGCCTGGAAAATCGGTCGAGAACGGAACAGGCTAGAAAGGAACAGCCACCCGACCGCCCGACCACCCGACAATCTTCCCCACTTCATCGATAGGAAAAGCCGAACGAGGGTTTTCCCCATTCGTTTTTTGTTTGCTTTTTGGGGGCAGTTCGGAAAACGTGCGTCGACGTCGACAGCGACTGAAGAACGGCGACGATGTAAAATTTTATTACCCCAAACGCATCGAGCAGTCGGGTTTTGGACGTCCGGACTTCACCGCCGCCTCGCTGCGACGCCAGACTTTTATTGCAGCGATTGCGATTGCCATAGATATATAGAGTGGGCACACAGATTCATGGGCACATGGTCAGGCCCGGAGATCCCAAAAACTTTCTGAAGACGGACACAAACTTTTTCCAGAGCTCCGCATAAAAGTGTAAAAGTTTTTGTTCGGCAGCGCCACAAACTAAAAGAAACTTCGCCGCCACCGCCGCCGCCGCGAAACCTCCCCACTTTAAAAACAAAAAAAAAAACAAAAAAACAACAGAACAACAAAAAAATCCAAAAATCAAAAACAAAAACCAATACGAAAACCCAGTGCAATGCAATGCAAAAAGAAAAACACAAATGTATAATAAACAAAAATATGTTAACAAAAAGTGAGTGGTCTAATTGACATCAAGTATACGCCTCATAAGCCGGCTAAGTTTTACCATAACTCTAAACATTCTTTCGCCGTCGTCGCGTTGACAAAAAGTGAGTTGCAATGTTTGTTTTTTGTTTTTTGTTACTGTTTACTCAGTTTTAGTTTGGCTTATTTTTTTGTGTTGGTGACGATCTATATCTATATATATAAATAAATCGGAGTGTTTGTGTGGAATAACAAATCACAACATCAGCATAATCAGCAAGCAGCCGCATCGTTAATGAAACAAAACAAACAAATGCCTCGAAAGTATGGCTCACAAATAAAGTGCAGAGTGTTTAAATACAAACAAATTGAAAAGGAAATCGAAATCGAAATCAAAATCAAAATCGCTAAGACAACCAAAACGAAAACAAAATCGAAACAGAAACAGAAACTGAATTCAGCAAATAGGTAAAGTTCACATATAAGTATTTGACTCTTGTAATATCCTCACTAGATCTTGCAATTATTTGTATCGAACTGAATACTGACAGTCTATATATATATATATATATTGTATATACCATGCTGATCCTCACCCAGACCCGCCCCCAGCCCCTGTGAAGGCAAAAATTGAAAACAAAATGCAAAATATATAGAAATGTATATAGAAAAACCAACAAGAACGAGAGAAACAAATAAATGTGTTAAAACCAAAATAGGAAACCGAAATAATAGAAAACAAGTAAAAGAAATTCAATGCAACAAGAATAATCACATTGATAAATTGACAAACAAAATTGAAAATTAAGCTAATGCAAATCGAGAATCGTTAATCATCCATCATGCATTTAGACCGAATTGCCAAGCTTTTCCAAGGGATCGTTAGCAAAGTGGGGCAAAACTCGTAGCTATCCATTTACTGAGGATCATATTTTATCCATATGCATAGGTGATTTTAGATTGTGTAAGTTTTGCAGCGGGAAATGCTATATTTATATTATTGCGACTATTTTTATCTTCTGTTTTGATATATATATTTTTCATAAACTATATACATATAAATATTCATTACTCTCTAAAGATTTAAGCTAACTTTACTACGCTACTAGTTAAGGTGTCACAAAACTGTAGTTCTTATTGTCATTTAATTGCTTGATTTATAGTTTATGGTACCATAAAACTGAACGAAAACAAGAACAGGCCATAACAAAGTTATTACCATTCTGAACAGTAACAAACTTTGTAGTAACAACAATCCATTAACCCTCTGACACTCTATTAATAATTGTTAGGCATTCCAAATAAGTTTTTTTAATTATTTATTTATAATGATTCCCAAAACAATTTTTTGGAACAACATTTTTAGAAAATTGTTATTAAAATGAGATTGATAATAGATTTTTTTTACTATCACAGACATTTTTCCTTAGCTCTTTTGCTCGTTCAGTCTTCATAATAATTATATATTTATAATTAGATAGCCTTTATACAAGAAACGATTAAAAAACGTTTTTTCCCTAGATTATCATGTATTTTCAAGACTTCGAGAAAATGATTTAAAATTCCCACGGTATAAGTTTAGATTTGGTCAAACAAATAATCGTTTGCCCAAGCGCTTTGTTTCAAAACAAACCTGCGATGATATTATTATTATTATAAGGTTTGGTTTCGATTTTGTTTAGTCTGGTGGGCAAACATCTCGCGATTGGATTTCGGCTGCTGAGGCTGCACACTGATTAATGATGATGTTGCAGTATCCACACAAACAATCGAGCAAAAAAAACTTACATTTCATTTCGACTTCTCACCTGATCAGCGGAACTGAGATAAAATTTGGAAAAGCCACTGGCAAAATGGCGCTTTCCAAGCGGCCCCTCACCAAGGACACGCCCTTGTCCGAGAACAATGGCGGCCACAATGGGAGTGGCACTGATCACGAGACCTCCGTCAAGCGACGCAAGCGTTGCAGTCGCGACGAGGACTCCACTCTGAGCAGCCACAACAACAACAACAACAATAACAACAATAATAATAACAATACGAATAACAATAATAACAACAACAACTTGCCGCAGAAGAAACGTAAACAGGGGCATATTGCCGATAGTCCGGAGAGTCCTACCTGCGGTACCCTGCTGCCCACGCACACGCCCACGGCGACGCCCACGGCCACGCCCCTGAGCAAAGGCAACACGGATGCGGACCAGGACGATGAGACATTGATCCGTGAGACACAGGCCGCCTTGAAGAGTCTCTCGGGCAGTTGGCCATCGGATTCGCGCGGCAATCTCTATCGGCTGCAGGAACAGGACGAGAATCCACCGCCCTTCCAGAATCTCTTCGAGGAGAAGCAAAAGTATGTGACCCTCGGCGGGCATGCCATCGACCAGAGCCCAGCACCCAATCCCACCAATCCCTCCACGCTCTTCTCACGTTTCCACAGACAAAAGGAGAACGACCAGGCGCGCCTGAATGCCAGTATTACCACTGGCAGCGGCTGCAAGAAGTCGCCCGATGACCAGCTGGATGACCACGAGCTGGAGGACACCGCCTCCTCGACCCCGGGCCTGTATGCCCAGGCTGCGTCGGCCTTCAAGCCGCCCATTGACATCATCAAACGGAATTCCGTCTATGTGGCCGCCGCTCATGCCCATTATAGTGCCTATAATGCGGCCGCTGCAGCGGAATCGGCTGCCGGATTGGCCTATTATGGCTATGCCGCTGCCGCCGCTGCCAGTCAACAGCAACAGCAACAACAACTCAATAGTACCACCTTCGATATTGCCAGCCAATTGGGCGAAAAGCAGCAGCAACAACAACAACAGCAACAACAACAGCAACAACAGCGGCCCAAGGAACCCATGGCCGATGGCAAACAGTATACGATCCTTCAGCCCGCGGGCATTGGAAGTCGGGCCGCGTCCGTCATGCAGGACATTGCATCGCGTGAGGGCGTTGTGGGCGTACCACTGGTGGCCACGCCCCCCTCGACAGCGGCCAACAGTCCGGCAGCAGGATCCTCGACTCCATCGACACCGGCGCCCAGTTACTCGCCGGGCAGCCAGAATCGCGGTAAGTGGTCCCCAATAGTCACGAAAAGAAAGAAAGAGTGGTTTTCGTTTTCCCCAAAAGTTGATTGTGATAATTATGATGATGAGTTGGTTGCGCTTCGCTGTGTATCGCTGGAAAAACTGTACATGTGCTGTGATTTTGCTAACATACAAAAAAAGAAATGGAATCCGTTTATCAGGCTAAAGCATTGCTGTCAACAGAACTGCGTTTTGGTGTATGCAGTACTTATTAACACTACTGTGATTCGTTGAAAAAGTGCCGTTAATATCACACTGACTCGCTATGATCAATACTAAAATACTTACTTAATGTAAGCCATACAATGTTGCACCTTGAACAGTGTTTAAAACACACTACTGTGAAAAGCTGCAAGCAGTGCTGTAAAAAGTATTAAGAGCCACTGTTAAAAGTGCTAAAAATGTGCTATTAGCCATGAAATAGTTTTGTAATAGTTATAAAAAGTGCTATAAAAAAAATGTACAACAATCCACCGACAAACACTGCTTTTTCGCACTTTTTATGATCCGTAAACATATAGTAAATAAATTTCAAAATGAAGAATACCAACAAACGGTTCTGTAAACAGCAATGTAAGCAGGGTTCTAACAGTTCCAAGGCAATTTTTTATGGATGCAGTACAGTAAAGTACAGTACAGTACAGTACAGTGCAGTGCAGTTCAGTGCAGTGCAGTGCAGTGTTAAGCAGCTAATTCACCAGCGATTTGATGTGGTTCGGTTGGGTTTCCGTTTCCGGTTCGACTGAACGATCGGCTGATGTGCGAGACTTCTTGTTGCATTGAGTTTACCGCTTCAATTGGCAAAATCAGAACAAAGTCCCCTGTCCCCAATGACCCACCACCCCCCACCCAAACAACCAACCCACTAATTCCCCTTTAGGGAGACAGAGACAGAGAGGGAGAGACAGAGAGAGAGAGAGAGAGAGAGAGAGTGTGTGTATGAATGGTGTATATTCTTGTGTATAGATGATCACTGACCCCCGTTCCCTAAAAAATGAGACAGAGAGAGACACTCAATTTATGACGATTATTATAACACTGGCTTTTATTGTTATTATTATTTGCACAGTCCCCCGCTCCGTGAACCCACATATCTAAAAATAAAACCCTTTTTGCAGCTCATTCAGCAGCCAAAAAGACATTAAGCGATTTTGTCGTTATGAAAATGGGATCGCTAAGGGATGGGGGTTTGTATTTTTGGTTGAAGTTGGGGTTGCCATTGGGTTTGGGGTTGGGGATGGGGCAGGAACAGGGGCATGAGCGCACAACAACTAATGGCTTGTAAACCCTTTATGCCACACACAAAACTGAGGCACACGGACGAAAACGGAGACGGAGACGGAGACACAGACATCTTTTGGTTGAGTGCCTGAGCCTTGAGCTTTGCCATCTACTAATTTCGCTGTACTGTAATTTCCACAATTTTCACAGACAACGATGTGTAAGTGGGTGTGGCATGATTAGATATAAAGCATTATGAGCACGTTTTCCTTCAAAAACCACTTTTGCATATTTATTTTGTCATTATGTTTTGGCATTAATATGCTCAGCCAGAAGCTCTTTGCTTGCGTGTGTGTATGTCTGCCTATGTGTGTGGTATTCATATAATTTGAATGACTTTTTAAATAGTTGACGGAAGAAAGGACTCCAAAACTCTATACGCTGCGTATACGTAATAAGTCATTAGCGTGCGGCAAGCCATATTGTTATTGTTTTAGCCTCTTTGCTAATGTGGCTTATTAGGCTTAACCCTTTGTGTGTATGTGTGTGTGTGAGTGTGTGAGTGTTTATGCTCTCCAGACTCCACACAATCTTTAGTTTTCTCTTATTTTTTGTGTTGTCTTTTTTGGCTGATGTGCCAGCACAACACAACACAACACACCACACCACACCACCCGCACTCGGAAAATTCTAATGCACAAACACTTTAGAACCCCCAAGCCCACGTTGGCTTTATTTTAATTAAATTCTAATTAGAGAGAAGTCGGTCCTTTTACTTTACCTTTACCTTTACCTTTACCGTTACCGTTACTTGGGTTCTCTCTCCGGCTGCTGCAGTTTGACATTTTGCCCGTCCACGTAATAGACAAAAACACGGCAGTGAAATATTTCGAAAAATATTTCATTAACCAACCCTCCCATGTCACGCACGTCATATAGTACATATCAGGAGGAAAATATCATGGGCCCCGGCATTTTATCTTCGAGGAGTTGCGCTTAGAAGGCGACCAAGTCTTTGGGGTATGCTTATATGGTTGGGTTTGATTTTTGAAGCTGTCTCGAAACCCCTTCCCCCTTTCTGCCCTTCCTGCCTTTCCTGCCCTTCCCCTTCGGCTGACTGTCATGTGTGTGAGCTGTGTGTGGGTTGTGTGTATGTTGTGTGTATGTGCGTGAGCTTTTTAAAGTAAATAATGCAAAGCTGTTTTCCATCAAATTTTAATTAATTATTTAGGGTAAAAGAATTGCCTGCTGTTGCTGCTACTGCTGTTTTTTTGAGGTTTTTCCATGGAATGGGGGTGGGGGGTTCCACGTTCCACATTCTACGTTCTACGTCAACTTGTCTCTCGCTGTCGCCTGCCATATAATTAATTAGAAATTATTCACCCAGCCATGCACTCACTCCACCCGCCCCATTCGCTCGCTCTTCGTTGAATTTAAGTTTTTCTGTTAATTGGTTAATTGTAGATGGCGCCAAATGCCCCACGCCGCATTGTACGGGCCAAGGACATGTCACCGGATTGTATTCGCACCATCGCAGGTACACCCATCAGCCATATACATACATATATTGTAGATCCCCTGCGAGAAGCGTCTCCTCTTCTCACACAACAAAACAATCTCATTTCTCTATATATTTTTCTCGATCTGCCATTGACAGTTTGTCTGGTTGTCCGAAGCGCGATAAGGTCACCACAGAATGTAAGTTCCACAAGAATTCAATTTCGCATGCCCATGTATGCCAGTGTAGTCGCTCTATCTCTTTCTATGACACTCTCTATATCTCTCTCTTTCACTCTCTCTCTATCTTGGACTCTTCGTCTCTCACTCTAACTGTCAATCTGTCTCCTCTTCTTTCTACTTGCCTCTGTCTCTGTCTTTGTTTCTCATAGCGAATTCTTGAGTATAACTGTTTGATGTGAATATACGGGCTATCCACTTCTTCTTTTTAGATTCTGTATAACTTGTTTCTATTATCTGTAATTCTTATTATTTGTTATTATTAGACACTCCCTTCTTAGGTCTTCGTTCTCTATTGTTCGTTATTCGTTATTAAGTACTACTTCTCTTCCTCTTCTATAGAACCTTGTTTGTATAATTTTTAGTACATTTTTTAACTTATTTTTAATTCATGACACATATCGAGATTGAATTACTTTATAAGAAATGGTATAGTAGTCTCTGTTCTTCTATCCAGCAAATCCTCTATACAAATTGCTTCTGGACCATTCCTAGTTTAAACTGTTTTCATATTCTGTTGTAAAATTGCATGTAGTTTGTCACTAGCTACTGAGATGGATTGCCTCTACGAGATCTTCTACTGACTGAAGTGTTTTTTTGTGACTTGACCTGCTAGAGGATCGCTGTCTCTTCACTGTTTTCCCTTCAATTCTCTGTTTCTCTGTCCCTGTCTGTGGAATGCCTTGTTGTTGTAGTCGTGAAGTCTCCGCTGTGAATTTGTGAATTTGTGAATTTGTGAACCAATGCCAATTCCCATGCACTTGCAGTGCTGGCTCTGCACGAGCAGATCCTGAAATGCCCCACGCCCGGGTGCAATGGTCGTGGCCACGTGCAGCCGCATCGCAGCGTGCACCGCAGCCTCTCCGGCTGTCCAAGGGCCCTGAGGCGATCCTCCGGCGGATCAGGATCGGCCAGTCGCCGTCTGGGAGCAGCAGCACTAGCAGCAACAGCAGGTGAACCAACCACTTTGGCCCCAACTCAAAGTCAGCCGACTGTGTGTCTGAATCATATAGGATTAAAACGAACCCTTTTTCCGAAAACTCACTTTCATCTTTCAACTGTCACCGTTAATCGTTAACCTTTAACCTTTAACCTTTAACCTTGAACCTTTCACCGCAACCCCGATCTTTGTTCTATCGCTCCATGTCTTGGTCTGCTTTTCTCGCACCCATCTAGCCGGAGATCTGGACAAAAATGAGAAGGAGCTGCATCCGCTCGAAAAACTGAAGTTGGCCTCCAACCACTATCTCAACAATAACAACAGTAGCTGCATCAACAACAACAACAACAACAACAACAGCAACAGCAGCAACAGCACAACAGCAACGCCAGCGACGATGCCGATTATCAAATCGGAGTACAGTCCCGTCGCCAGCATCAAATCGGAGTATAATAAGAGTCCCATGCACTCGTATCTGTCGGGGGATGCGGCCGCGCCCGCCCCCGCCGCTCCATCCTCGGCGGGATCCGCCCAAGCGCCGCGTTCCGGATCGGCGAACGTGACCGGCGGAAGTGCAAATGGGGAGAACAACCTGCATGCCCCCCACTTGAGTCGCTTTGTCGGGCTGCAGAGTCCGCCGCACCAGCCGCATCTCAATCCCCACGGCCACCACCAGCAGCAACAGCAGCAGCAACAGCAGCAACAGCAGCAGCAGCAGCAACAGCAGCAGCAACAGCAGCAGCAACATACGCTGCACCAGCAGAGAGGACCCTTCATCGAGGGTAATGATGTGCCCGATCCTTCAGCCACCTATCACTCCGAGCACCAGCAGCAGCAGCAGCAGCAGCAACAGCAGCAGCAGCAACAGCAGCAGCAGCAACAGGCCGACGAGCGGCAGCAGCAATACGAACAGATGCGCTATGCCCAAAGTCATGTGAGCGTCGGTCCGAGTGGCGAACTAATGGCGCCCAACGGCGGGGAATTGTCACCGGGGACGGCGAGAAGCGCCTATGAAGCGCACCCCGGACATCCGCATCCGCATCCGCATCCCGGGCACCCGCATCCGCCCGTCTCGCTGAGTTCCCTCAGCTCGCCAGCGTTCGCAGTCGATGCGGTGAGTGCAGCGGCCGTGGCCAGCGGAGCGGGCTTCGAGCGGTACGACCCCAGCGGCGTCTGTTGTCCCAGCAACGGCGGGGGTCAAAGGTCAGCGGCGGCCACAGCCGCAACGGCGGCCTCGGCAGCCGCCGCCTATCACTATCTGCCGCAAACCACCGACGAAATGCAGGCCCAGCAGCAGAAGTATCTGCAGGAGCAGCAGCTCATGCTGGCCGCCAAGGCGGAACACGAGGAGCTGGCCAACGGCGGACAGCCCCTGTATCCGCGGCCCATGTACCACTATGATCCCACGATGGGACCACTGCCACCTGGCTTCTCGGCCATCAATTTGTCGGTCAAGATGGCCGCCGCTCAGGCCGCAGCTGCTGCGGCCGCCTACCAGAATCAGCAGCAACAGCAGCAGCAGCAGCAACAGCAACAGCAACACCACCAGCAGCAACAGCAGCAACAGCAGCAGCAGCAACAGCAACAGCAGCAGCACGGCAAACAGAGCAGCTCGCCCGCACCAAATGTGGGTGGCAGCGGTGTGCCGGCGGTGGACCTGAGCGGTTCCACCTCGGTCACCAGCAGCAGTCCGCACGGTTTCAACTCGCCAGCCTCGCACAACCAGTACACCGCCCAGCGCATGGGCAACGGCAGTCCGCAGCCAGGAGCCAGTCCAAACATAGCCAGTCCCCAGGTTCCAAGTCCCCAGGGCCAGACGTTGGACCTCAGCGTCACCCGGTTACCCCACAGGTTAGTTGAAATATCTTGGATAACCAATCAAGTAGCAAGTCCAATTAGTTGATACTCTATTTAAGTAGTTTTTGCTTTGATTTTTTATTATTTTTAACATGAAAATCTTACGTTTCTTTAAATATTCCATTTCGGAATAGATTTTATTATATGTAATTGTTAGTTAAATTGAAATCATTTAATACTTTTCAATCAAAATGAACCCAATTTGGAAACATATATTTTGCACATTAATTTTTATCTTTAAATCACGCAATTTATTATGCTATATATTTAACATTATGATTTTATATGTGAATTAAATATGATATATACAATTTTGAACTCAATAGCCACTTTACTGTTTAATTTTTCAACCAGTGTAACCATACATGTATGTGGGTCTAAATATTTTCCCTTCCATACACAGAAAAAAAATGTCTAAGAAATCATACTCGTTTTGATCAATTACATTATTTAATGGTAACAAATGAAACGTATTTGTTTTCTGTGTATATTGCAAATATTACTACCATTTAAGGGTCATTTATGATAATTTTAACCTTTGACCTCCACCTCCGCAGCATTATTACGAGTCCACAGTACGGCGCCGATGGCCTGGTGGTGGGTCATGCCCAGGGTTTCGTGAGTGGAGCGACAGGACCTCTGGGTCCGGGCAACGGCGGACCACCGCGATCGCCACAAATGGAACCAGTGGACTTCAGCGGACCTCCAAGACCGCTGGGCTTCGGCCTGGTGGGACACATCAGCGGTCCGCGACCCTATAGCCGCGAGTCCACGCCGGATAGCGGTGGCTCTCACTATATCGAAACGTATCGGGATCCCAGCGGTAAGTTGAGCTACTTCTATTTATTTGATGCTTAAAAAAAATATAAAAATAAATTGTTATTTTTGGCTAACCATTCATATTTCTTTCAACACAAACGATGCTCAATTTGGAACCCTTTAACCATTATTATCCTTGCAGGTTACTCACCGCACCCCGGTTACGGGATGGTGGTGCAGTCGGACTATCCGCCAGCCGGATACCACGGCTACGGTCCGGCTGCGTACCAATGCAGCAATCCGTACGCCACGGCCGTCGGTCCCGGTGGCTATCCCACGCCCGTTTCCGGCGGATACTCGCCCAGTCCGGCCACCTGCTACTCGATGCCACCGCCTCAGCACATCCCGCAGCATGACAAGTCCAAGGACGGGTAAGTCGAGTCCTCCGCTCACCCTTACCCCTCCGGTCCACCCGATGTGGTTAATGATTCATATAATAATTGGCCAAACACTGTCCATCCATCCATCTCTGTTATGGACTTCGGTTTCTCTCCGCAATCCATCTCTGTCAGTGGAAAAGTGTTTCAGCCACACCTGACCAACGCATTCAACTTAGTTCGAACCCTTAATGTGACGAGTTAACTGAATAATTATGCAGCTCAACAGTATACGAAAATAAGCCACATGTTTAATATTTATAAATCTCAATTTTAAAACCTTAAAATTAAACAAATAGTTAACATATTTAGATGAAGGTTTAAAATTTTAAACAATAACGTTGACTACTTTAAAACCCACTCACAATGACAGTTGTCAGACCAAATTTAGTAGTTTTCTTGAGTCTTGAGTCGCTAAAAGCCCAGGGTCGAGTGACTTTAATATTTATGATTACGACTGAAAGTGGCCGCAGAGCGGTCGTAAAAAATCCTCATCGTCTGACTCGCCGTGTGATTAAATGAAACTTTAAAACCGAAAGTTTCAAGTCGAAAGTCGAAGGCCTTAGCACGGACAGACACAGACATATGGAGGAGATGTTTTCTTATCTGGCCACGACCACTTGGCCTGTTTCTTGTGACCCCGGAGTGCGTTTGGGTCACTTCACTAATCCCCTCCTTTCGACCTCCAGATTGACGGGCTGCTCGCGCTCGGACCGCAACCATCTGCAATCGCACTCGCAGGAGCTGAAGTGCCCCACGCCCGGATGCGATGGCTCCGGCCACGTGACCGGGAACTACTCCTCCCATCGCAGCCTATCCGGCTGTCCCAGGGCCAACAAGCCGAAGAGCAAGCCGCGCGACGGCCAGGACTCCGAGCCCCTCCGATGTCCCATTCCGGGCTGCGATGGTTCCGGCCACTCCACCGGCAAGTTCCTCTCCCACAGAAGGTGAGTGCCAGGGATTTAGTGGCTGGTTGATTGGCATCATATCATTATATTCCTCCTCCTTCAGCGCTTCGGGCTGCCCGATTGCCAATCGCAACAAGATGCGAGTTCTGGAAGCCGGCGGCACTGTAGAGCAGCACAAGGCCGCAGTGGCAGCTGCCACGGCCATGAAGTTCGATGGTAAGTACAGATTGTTCGGAGAAAACCAACACTTTTGACTGGATTTTTAAGCTACATCTTTAAATACATCATTTAATTTTCATCAGTGTGGCTTCGAAATTGCTTTAAAAAGTACCTAAAAGTAGGCAGCAAAGTATTTTGAGTCCAAAAGTCAGTGTGTTTCATTCCGAAAGACGACAAACTTTATTTTATGCATACTTTTAGTAATTTCTGTGGCCCCATTTTATATGTATTACACTTTACCAAATTCGAATGCCAACAAGTCACATACAAATAATTCTAAATTAAGTACAAACAAATGTTTTTAAAGTATAAGTAAAAAGTAAATAAAATTAAATTTAAAGATGTGTAATAACAATTGATCTTTAATGAATAAATAAACAAAGAATTCCACTTGTTTCTCCCTTTTTTCACACGTTTTCTATAGCCTGCACCACGGTGGGCAGCCAGGGCATCAAGAAGCCGAAGTTCGATGAGGTCACCATGGTCTATCCCAAGGGTTATACAGGTGAGTGACCCCGATCTCAGACGCTTCATCTCGCTCTCCTTCTCTCTCGCTGTCTCTCTCTTGCGTGTATTTTTCTGTTATGAACTGGGCCCAAGGCTAATATACCATATCCCTCCTAGATCGAAAAAGGGGTTGGGTTATAATGGCCTTGATATGGAGCTAGCAACACACAAAGAAGAAGAAACAATTACATTTAACAAAATTTGAAAAAAAAAAAAAAAAAAAAAATAGTATTCCTCTTCTCTGTTGTTGCTCGCTTTTTGTCTTGAACATTTTCGGTTGGAATTTTGTGTGCGTGTGCTAAAGTCAAACGAAAAATAGAAAGCATAAAAAAAAATGAAAAAGAAAAAAAGAACAAATATTCAACAAGAAATAACTTTATTTTTGGTTTTGGTTTCGGAAAATGCAACACAAAAAGAATTTCAAAAACAAATCTAGCAAATTTTCGTTTCGAAAGTTTCGAAATCCTTCGAATAATCCCTCGACCTCCAACAACACCAATTCCCCATCGAAAACCAACCACTCACTCGAAATATCCTCTGAAAATCCTACCAAAAAAAAACCCGGTACATAACAAGAACCCGTTAATATCCGAAAACACACACACACACACACCCACAATTGCATATGTGTATGTGTGTGTGCGTGTTTGTGTGTATGCTACGAACAAGAGAAACAAAGCAAAAGCAAAAGCAACAAAGAAGCTGATCAAAAGAGAAAGAAACAGTTAAATTCCTAGTTTTAATTCTAATTTAATTCTGTGTTTCTTCTTTTCGTTTCGTTTCATGTCGTTTTTGTTGACGTTTTCTTTTAGATTACGCAACGTTTTGTATCGGTGCCGAGTATCTACTGTAAATAAAAAACGAAACCACTGAATCTCGCAGTCAAAACAGTCCGTATCGAAACTGAAACTGAAACTGAAACCACAACCAGCAACCAAAAATAAATGCAATGAAAATCCAAATGCAGCTGAAAAACAAAAATTAATAATAAAAGCAAATACAATACAGAATCTCTAGAAAAAAAAAACAATTATATATGTGTCTGTATGTAAAACAGAAAGAAAGACAGCAATGCGAACAGACCACAAAATGTCATACCTACAACTCACACAAATCAGAGAATCCAAAAATACAAAAATGTACATACAAAATTGCCAGGGAGTCTGTCGATTGTCGATCAAGGTAAGCCAGAAGATAAGATGATTAAAACCCACTAAGCCACCAACTTACACCCACACATTCACACATACACACAACCACACACACAGCGAACCCTTGCACACATACGAGTCACCTGATTTATCCCTAATGTCCATATGATCTATTACACTTCATTTAATGTCTATTCATTTAATCCTAATTTATTAACTGCGAACTGTTGACTGCTGTGATTAATTCCTCAGAAATGTCAAGAGTTTTGAAATCTCTTACAAAGGTGTCTATTTGGAAGCCAAAAGACTAATGGTCTCTATACTTTTATAAGTGATTTCTGAACCCTAGTAATTTCTGTGTTAAAGTACATATATTAGAGTGGTTAATCCTTAATAGCTATGTATGTACAGATGCCTAGTTGTAAGCGATGCAATGCGATAATGTCCTAATGAAATACTGCTGCATCGGGTGCAACTGGCTTAAATGATAATCACCATGTCCTCCACATAATGTGACTCAACACACACTCACATCACACCACACCACACCACACCACACCACACATACACAAACACACACTAGTGCCAATTGAGTTGCTAGCACACGCGCACATTGACGAACCGCGGAATGCCAGACGATCGCTCCCACAGATCCACAAAAAGAGAAAAGACAAAAAACAGCATTCTGACCATAGATCTCCCACTAACGAGCCTCTCCCCATTCACCATTCACCATTCACTTGGAACAGGCGGCAGCGGTCTGGACATTGTCATGGGCGGCGTGGGAAGCGGTGTCGGCGTGGGACTGGGCCTCAATGTCGGGATCGGGGTCACCAGTAGCAGCAGCGGCAGCAGTACTGGCATCGGCGGCGGCAGCGGCGGCAACAACAGCTCCAGCGGCAGCAGCAGCAACACCAGCGGACCGGAAAAGAATCCAAATCCATCTGGTGGTGCAGGAGGTTCCTCCTCGGGCGCCACTGGCAGCGATGATCTAAACACGTTGGAGGCCGAGATCTCGGAGCTTCAGCGGGAGAATGCCCGTGTGGAGTCACAAATGATGCGGCTAAAGTCGGATATCAATGCCATGGAGTCGCAGCTGAGCACCAGCGATCGGGTATGTAGGCTCAGGTTCGTTGACGGCAACAAATTATGAGACCAAGTCCATTTCCCACTAGGCTAAGCGCATGAACTTTGCAGACGATGGTCACACTGAAAGTTTTGCTTATGCACCCCCCTTAGTCCCCCGCCCCCGCCCCCGCCCCCTTTCCAAAACTTTCGACTCAAACGAGACTTTGAGTGGAGTTCTTTTTACCCCTTCGTAGTATGGCTTTTGTTGTTTTTGAGTTCGGTCTGTCGTCACCTGAGCGAGTTTTGTCTTGGCACTTTTCAAGGACGTCTCTCTAAAACTCGGCGAAAAAACAATGAACAACAAGTGAAACAAAGTAAAGTAAAGTAAAGTTAAGTAAAGTGAAATAAACTTATGCTAAAGTTGAATCGAAAACGAGGGCGCGCGAGAGCGAGAAAGTTTTATCAGCCGCCGACGCAGACGTTAAATTGCCTGGGAATTTTTTGTTTTTTTTTTTTTTTTTTACTTGTTTTCCCAAGCCTAAACTCATATTTGCATGCAGAGAACAGAATAAAGATTTATATGAGTAATATATGTATGCCTAATAGGTTCCTAATTGTTAATGAGTTTATTTTGGAAGCTGTTTTTATATTTATACTTTTTTTTTGATTTAAGTTAAGTTGGACTCATATAAATAGCCCTTACAAGACATTTCAATAGCCTAGAATGTAGGGATTAATCATTTTAATATTTTATGTCCTTTATTTCTGTGTAAAGAATCCACCCGAAATGCGGTGCATTTCACTCCACCTCCTGTTGACGTCAGCCAATCGGTGACGTTGCATCCTCACTGCATCGGGCGGCGAATCAGAATCGGCGACAGGAGCAGGGGGTGTGGCACACCCCTAAGCACACCCCACGTCCACACCCACACACCCACACCCACATCCATATCCAAGTCTCCCTTTGGCGTGTGTGTGCTGGTCATGCGCAGGCCATGGTGTTGCAGCCCGAAAAACCCAACGAGGCGCCAACAAATCGCAGGACGCCATTCGATTTGCTCCTAAAAACAGGGAAATGGGGCGCAAAAAAAGAAAGAATGAAATAAAGAAAGAAAGAAGAAAAAACCAGTCCAGAGAACTGTGCTACAAAAAGGCGCCGGCAGCGACGTCGACGCAGCATTAACCTTTGTGTTTTTTGGGGGCGCCCCAAGGCTCCAAAAACTCCGAAAAACCCACTTCCTCTAGCGCTCTCTCTCTCTCTCTCTCTCTCTCTCAATCTCTTTGGCTTGTATCGCTCGTCTCTAGCTGTCTCTTTCTGCCCACGGTGTTCGTGTGACTTCGTTCAGGATTCGTATGTTCTTTTTTTTTCTTACATTTTCCCAACCCCAATTCCTGTTTTTTTTTTTCGTGTTCACTTTTGTGTGTGATGGCCCGTTCTTATTGGAATTGCTATACACATATGTGTGGCACACGAGCAGGGGTTTATGTACACGGGCAAAAAACCCCACCCAATCGAGTAAATTGAATACCAATATTCGTGACCATCGTCTGTGCTTTCAAGCGAACGCACTCCAACCACTCAGCATCTAACCATATAAATACATATATTGTATTTTGTGTTTTGTATTTTGTGTGCTTTACCTAGGAGGCTTCTCCACTGAGCGGCCATCAGCAGCAGCAGCAGCAGCAGCAGCTTCCTCGTTCCTCTGTCGCTTTGGCCTCGCCCAGCGGTCAATCGCCATTCGCTAGTGTCAGCTCCACCAGTGGTGGCACCACAGTGGTCAGCGGAGGAGCCACCCCCAATGGTAGCAGCACTAATACCAACACCAACTCTGGCGGCGGCAGCACCACCAATGCCAACGATCTGAACCACTCGATCAGCAATTTGGCACCGAGCTCTGGCAGTAATCCCATCGATGGTGGTGCCCCACCCAATGCCAATTTGAACAACTACTACGAGAGCCTGAGGAACAATGTGATCACGCTGCTGGAGCACGTGCGTCTGCCACCACCGCCACCACCTCCAGGTGGCACTGCCAGTTCCTCCACAGCATCCGCATCCGCAGCCGCATCGTCGGTGAGTCAACATGGCCTGGACAATGTGGTGTGCGGTGGCGGTCAGTTGATCACGGGCGGTGGATCCCTGGTGGGTGGGGGTGAGCATGCTGCCGCGTACTCCACCCTCTTGCCGCCGCCACCACCGCCACCCTCGTCTGCGGGTGGATCAGCAGCCGTGAGTGGCGTGAGTGGCATGTACGGGGGATCCAGTGGTCTGCTTCAGGGAGCCAACTCGAGCAACCTTAGTGGTCCGCCTCCAGTGCCGCCGCCGCCGCCGCCGCACCACCATCATCCCTATACGGTGCACCATCCCGTCAGCTATGCCCATCCGCATGCCCATCCGCACGGACATCCGCATTCGCATCCGCATCCGCACGAGCACTTCGACTCGTACATCTCGAAACTGCAGTCGCTCTGCGTGCCACCCGATGTGTATGCGCTGCCCGAGGATGCGGAAAGGCCTGTCTACAACTCGGTGAAGCCCACAATGCACCAGGACTATGGCAAGCTGATGCCCACGCCCATCTAAGGCCCCTGAGCGCCATCACTGGTGACCGCTACGCATCACACAGAGCCACATCCCGTCCACGGCTCGAATCAAGTGTAAATACTTAAAAAAAAAAAAAGAAGAGAGAAAAACAAGGAAAGGTAACACTGGGGTTAATTCATAGGCCTGACTTTAAGGCAGACTATAAAAATTAAAAACAAAACAAAACAAAACAAAAAAATACTGGTGGTCGAGGTCACCCAACCATGCTAGTTGTTAGGTCTAGAAAACTAGCCATCTAGTGCTTAAAACTGTTCCACATCCTAGATCCTAGACGCTTTCGTCGTGTGTGTTGATAGCAACTCTGTATAAAAACCAAGAAAGGAAAACCAAACATAAGTGTGTAATTCGATTATAAATTGCAATTTTTTTTTGTCTGTATCAAATACTAAAACTAGAACTTATAGATAACTATACATATATATATATATATTTATGAATATATATATATATATGAGAATTTAATTTAAATGTAGGGCATTTGTTTGGTGTTAATGTCTGGTCAATTTTTTGCAAACGGAATACGAGATGTTCGCAACTACTTAATAGCCCACGTAGTACCCCATTAGCCCATAATATCCCCGCAGTCTAAGTTTAGTTAAGTGGCAAAGTCGAACACCAAAAGTGAAAGAAAGGAGTAAACATGCAACTTATAGACATGCAAATATAATCAATACTAAACTTAGTGGATGTAATCGTACGATTTTTTTTTATTTTTTTTTGTGCAATTGTAATATTAAAAATGTAATAGTAATATCAAGCGAATATCTAAAACTATATGGGCTAAGTGTGTGAACGAAGGTGGGAACTTTGGGTTGCGAGGTGGCTAAACGTACATATAATCGGGAAAAACGAAACACGCGTATATTCGCAGATTATATCAGTATGTGAGTGCGGCATGTATGGCTGCTTCTCTGTAGGATCGTAAGTTTTAATGTTACCCCTTACGAAATCGGGCACGAGGCATTAACCCCCAAGACCCCAAGAACCCAAAAATAAAATCGAAAACATAGATTAAAATTCAGTGCAATACATACAACCAAAGGAGGGCAAATCGAAAAACCAAAAAATCGTAATAAACTAATTGTGTAAGCTTAAGTAAAACAAGTAGTTGAACAAAATGTAACGTTTTTTTTTTTGTATCATCATACGTCTAATCTTAAACTTAAACATAACTTAATAAAAAAAGAGAAATAAATCGTAGAACGGAGAGCGGAGAAGATGGAAAATCCCAAAAACCGCAAGGTAATTTAGACGAATTTTAAAAGAAAAAACCAAATTGAAAAAGTTGAAAACAAAAAAAAATGAATGGCGAAATGCGAAAGAGTATGAAAATAAATAGCAGGCTTAACAAAAATCATTGTACTAAATGAAGTAATACATTACGATGATTAAAATAACTACACTAAACTAAATATAAATATAATATATATATATATATAATATAATATTGTATTGTATGACAAGAAAAAATTCTGTAATTTACAACCGAAAAATATTTTATGTGATCATTGTCTTTTTTTTTAATATTACAAGAAATAAATAATTCGAATACCAAATAAAGGATATACACAAATAATGGAATAATTGTTTGCATATTAAAAGGACTGCTTATTTATATTTTTCAGGTGGAAAATTTTCAGGTGGAGCTTTAAAAAAAAAACAAAAAAGAGGAAAATCTAAAATTCCTATACATTTCTGTGTTTTTTTAACCCAAGGTCATTCACCGATTACTCATCTTAATCGTTTTGCATGTACTCATTTATCCGAATACTCATTTTCTGGTCCTTGCATTAGCATAAATCAGTGGTAAATTGTTTCCTTTCTTTTTTTTTTTTTTTGAACAGTGCGGACAGTGGTAATCGAATGAAAAATGCGCAGTAATTTCTTGGCAACGTTTTTAATTTCAATTAGCCAACGGACATTGACCAAGGGACCAACGGACCAATGGACAAACGGACAAACGGACCTCCTGCTGAAAGTGCGATGCTAAACGATGCTCTCCGGTTAGCTGGCACTTGATTTATGTGGCTTCATTAGACATTCCGCACATAGTCAGTCGGTGGGCAGAAGGGGGCTAAGTGATTGCCAAAAACTAATAGCGAGCCCACGGCCAAACACAATTAGAAGCAAGGCGAAAGGCGAATTTCAAGGAGGGATATTGTGTTTTTTTTTATTTGGGTTTGGGTTTGGGTTCCCTGGGAATTTGGTAGTTTTCCGATTGACCAGCATGGAATATTTTCGGTTACCACCTCAAGCACTCAAAGTGAAAAACAAAATAAAAAGGGTTTCCGGGTCCGGTTTTCGGTTTACGGTTTTCGGTTTTGTGTGTTTGCTCGTGTGAGCCGCAAAAATATTTGCATAGTTACCTTTAATGTGGTTCGCATCAGGTCGGTTCAGAGTTCACAGTTCACAGTTCGCAGTTCGCAGTTCGCCGTCTCTCCATGCAAAGTTCTTCAAAAACAAACGAACAAAAGTTTTCTTTGCACAAACACACACACATACACGCACACCCACACACACATGCTGGCATGTAATTTAAAATGAAAAATTCTATTCTTTTGACGCAATCGCAAGCACACACAAGCAGGAGACAAGCACACACATACGTCAGCGAGCATTGATTTCATTTGCATAAATAAGGAAAAACTCGGATGGTGGGGGGCAAAGTCTGGAGTGGAGGTGGGCGGGAGTTACAAAAAAAAAAAGGGGGGGCTACAAAAGGGACCTCACCGTGCCGCTAATAACGTGCGGCAAACAAAACTATTGCCTACTTTCGGGCGCCAAGAGAAATCAGTCGCACACTTGCACTGTGCTTCGAAGTGGCTGAAAAATTATATTATTTAATTCAGAGCCAAGGTAATTGCTTATTCTTTATTTATTAGTAAGGACGTAGTCCGTGAAATTAAAAAAAGAAGTGATATGAATTTTCTGTCGTTAGATTTTTGTATTAACTGAACTTTCAAATTTCCATTTAGATTTTGATTTAGTGCCGATTTTATTATTAACTACTTTGTATCAGGAAAATTTAAAAATAATTACTTAAAAGACATATAAATGGAATGATTTCTAAACCTTTAAAAAAACCTTTAAAAAAATAATATATAAAATGTATGTCTTGCTCAGAAAATAGTAACTTTTCCGGAAATATCATATAACAATATTGCATGCAGACTTACTTTAAATAAGCTATTAAATGTTCAAATAACATTATTGTTTTATGAATGTATTGAAATATTTTTAAAATTGAAACAAATCAAGTTTTTAATGGGTCATACCAGTCAGTGTTTAGTGAAATATATTTTGTCACTGTGCCGCATACTTTCACCCCCTTTCTCCAACTCCGTAACCCTTTCTCCAACCCCGTTCCACCGATGTATGCGTACGCTGAAGGCGGCGGCAGTCAAAAATCGCATAAATTAAAAAACTGCACACACTCACGCACAGACATGCGATAGAAAGGGGGTGGGTGGTAATGGCAACCCTTTGTGATCCCCCCAACCCCAGACGGTCCACCCCCAACCCCAACCCCAGCTGTCGCTCACCACCAAGGAAGTAATAAAGTATCTCGAAAGTAACTTATTAACCATGCTGACAACGCTGCCAGCGAAGCTCCTGGAGCTCCAGACACACAGCCAGGATGCCAGAATGCCAGGATGCCAGGATACCAGGACATCAGGACGTGTCTGTGTAATACATGCATACCCCTGCCCAAAGGGGGAGGGCGAATGGGGGTGTGGCTGATGGGAGGGGTAGTCATGTTTCATGTTTGCTAATTGCAAGTCGATTTTTCATTTCGCATTTCTCTCCAGAGTGTCGTAGTGGACCTGGGACCTGGGACCGGGGACCTGAGACCCCGACATCGACCTCAACCTGAAGCCAACGCTGAATCCCCAACCGAATCTGAGGTCCAACACATGCACTGAGAAAAACTATACTCACTACAGTTTGTACACGTTTTTAATTAACTATAAATGAAAAGTTTGATTTTATTTCTAGAATTGTATGATTATCATTTCAGGTCATCAGAACATAATGATTTAAATACAAATTATATATTTGCCCTTTGTTTTGTAAGTTCCGTTTAAATAAAATAAGTGCAAATTTTGATGTCTGTCTCTAGAATTGAATGGTTTACTGAGTGTCACTTCATTAGATTACTTTTTTAAAACTTGTATGATAAAAATGTTGATTTGTGTTATTTATTGCTTTTAATGCAAGCCACTGGTAGAAAACAACATTTATTTTCCATCAAAATTCGAGTTTTGGTATACAAAAATCTAGTAAACCCTGTAAAGTTATAAACATATTGCATTTTAAAAATTTTCTTTTAGTGGCATAAGGGAGCTGGACAAGGAACTGATTGAGTCTGTGGAAATTTTTGAGGTTTCCGCTGACCCACTCAACGCCGGATCCGCATTTGTTCCGGAAGGGACTGCAGGCGAAAAGGGCAAAAATATTTCATTTAAAGCAGCATAAAAACAAAGACGACGACGCAAGAGTGTGGGGTGAGTTTGAGTGCCAGCAAATGGTTAATTTAATTACAAATTCTTTGCTTTCTTTTGCATTCGTATTAAATTTTCATGGGCTCCTGACATCAGGCCCTTTCCTGTGCGAGTGTGTGTGTGGGGCCACACACATATGGTGGTGGATGGGTGTGTGTGTGTGTGTGTGTGAGGCACCTGCTGTCATTGCCGTCTTTGCAACATTTTGGCCGCCTAAATACCCTAGAGACTTGAGAGAAAGCATTTCCCCCACTACACACACACACTCAGCCAAATCACCCACCCATCCCCTCACACACACACACACGCACAAGCACACACATGAACACGCTGATTGTCCTTTCAATGAAAAATAGCACTCATTAATGTTGCTCATTAGCAGGACCACGGTTCCTGCTCCTTGACTTTGCCCTGCCAGTGACATTCCCTTACGTGTCCAAGGTCCCTTCCACCCCATGCAACCCCCCCATCCCCCCTTTCTTCACCCACCCACACCCACACCCACACCCACACACCCTTGGCCATTCAGCAAGTGTCAACTGGCAAATGATTTGCCATTATTTACTAATAAAACTCATCGAGTTTTGGGCCCACTGCTAATCGAATGTGTGCTCGGCATCACCCACCCAACCACTTTGCCAAATCCTTCGCCTTTGAGTGGAGCAAGAAGATGTCCTGGGCAACCAGAAAGGACTCTTAATTCGAAGCGACTCACACGTTTACGCTGCCAAATGACCGCAATCAACGCGGCCAAAGGGATCATCGGCCGGGGGAATTAGGATACTTGGGTTATATAAGCACAAATCCCTAAAACAGCAGAAGCTTCCTTTAATGGAAAAAATATGGCAAATTTGGAATAGGGTTTAACTAGGCCTCCTAAATTGTATATCTAAGTGCTATTAAGGCTCGAACAAAATATTCCTGTTTCGTGTAGTGTAACTCACTTTTTCAGTTGGCGACAGAAAAGAAGGTTTTATCTACAAACAAGAGTACTTTTATATATTAAATGTTGTTTAAAAGAAAGTAAATAATCAACTTATTGAAAGTGAATATATCTAAGTGTGTAGCACTATTTAAAACAAAGTATAACATTTTTGTAACAGTTTCCAGTTGGCTCCGTAAAAGAAGACTATTTGTTAAATATATATGCAAAAATTAGGTACCCAGGTATTAAATTCAACCAGAGTAACACAATGATTGCAAATCTTAATGATATTTCTATATAATGAATGAAAACAATTTGAATACATATATTTTATGGTACGTTTTTTATTGAAAGTCAATAATAATAAGAAAAATAAAAATGAATCATATCACATTAATTGAAATCTTAAAAATTTCGAGGCTTTATCACAAATATTTATTATTACCCAATTAGGTTTCCCCATCCGAAATAAAATTGCTGACAAAAAAAAGGGGCTGCTCGTGTGGTAAACAAATCGATTTCGTCTCAAATGTTTAAATGCATAAACAAAAGTAATCTTGCCTTTTTTATGCGTACAGACAGAAGTGGGTGTCATATTCATAAAAATAACATCACTTCCCGGTTCAATTTGTTTGATTATGTTTTGTCCCAATAATGGCAATGGTTGACCAAAGGCGAAAGTCTGTGCGGTAATCTTTCATGTGTACATGTGTATATATCGATTCCATAGATGGCTTCCGGTTCGATTCCGTTGGCTGTCAATCAGCAGGGTCCCACATGGTTTGCCGGAGTCGGGGCGGGGATTGAACTCCCCTTGTCAGGATGGTCCGGACCTACTTCCACTTTGGCAGTCCTGCCAGTCCAAAAACTCTTTTCGACTGCCCAATTCTTTGCATTTAATTTCGTTTATTCATTCGAATGACCACAAAATGACATTTGCATTTGGGCAGCGGTCAGTTCCATCTCTCCAGCTAGAGAAAACCCATCGAGATCCCATGTGCTCGGTTCTCCGGGGATTTCCTCGAGATATGGGGATGTCCTTTGGGGGGGAGGGGGGTGGACTACGTAACAAATGAACGGCTCAGTTGGTAAAATTTGTTTTGACAACCAAAGATGCTCGCAGCAGGCAAAGTGCAAAATTTATAAAACGCAAGAGTGCGAAACTATCAAATGTCCAGGCGAAGTTGAGTGTGTGTGTGTGTGTGTGTGTGTGTGTGTGTGTAATTAATTCTCTGCTGAGTCGGCATTTGTAGGCCCGGCCAAAAAAGCACAATTAAATGCACAACAAAAACACTGCGAGCAGCTTTTCTGGACATGATGGCATGACCATGACCAACTACACTGCTTTTCAATTGATTCCCCAAGTAGTTCTATGAAAATATGGGATTTCCTAAGAAATTTTAACTTTAAACAAGGCAACGTTAATTGAGATTTTTAATTTAAAAAAATTTAAAAACTCCGAAATAATCGATGTTTTTATTTACATTTATTTAAAAAATAAAAATCTGCACATAAATTCTGATTTAATAATTCATTGATATTAATTTATTATTATAATTACAATACAAATAATACATATATAAATATTAAATGCCAGATTGATGTTAATATATAAACTAAAATAAAAATTTAAATTGTATTTAGGTTGTAAATCATCACATTTCAATAACAATTATTTTCATATTCTTTGAATTCTTATAATATACTTTATATTTAATAATAATTATAGATACTTAAAGATTACAATACCACAAAGAATTCTCAATGCCAGAAAAATCTAAGCATATTGTATAAGATGGATTAACTTAATCTTAACCAGATCAAATAAGCTTTCTCCGTTTGGTCAATTAAGTACATTGTGTTACCATGAGTAACTAAAATCATAAATTTAAATACAGAAATTTGAAACTAGTTTTACGATTTTTGAATATTACAATATTTACTTTGAAGAGTTAATCTATTCGTTGGGGGTTTGAAACCAGTGTGCAAGGCAGCTCAACTGCAAATGGACAACTACTATTTTCCGGATGCTGTAACTGTGACCCGTTGGATTCGCCGGATTCGTCGTCAACAGGCATCGCCATCGTGGCCGTGGCCAAAAAGCAATTAGCAAAGTTTTCAGTCTCCAAAACACTCGCTCCTCGCATGGAAAAGGGGGATGAAGTGGGGCAGAGGAATGAAAGTAGTCCGAAATGGGCACCAGGATAAAAAGGATGGAACGGAACGGTACGGTACGGTACGGTATGGTTCGGAGGTGGCTACACTTAGCCGGCCATCATCAATCTGGTGCAGTTGCGCAACCCATCCCAATCCCCAATCCCCAAATCTCAAATCCCAGCCTCCACTTCAATCCGATCGGATTCCGCTCCTCCATCCATTACACATGCGCCTAACTATTGCACGGAGAAAAATATCCATTAGATTATATATTAACCAACTAATTTAAAAGAAGAATAAAAGAAAAAATAATATATATGCACACTAAAAATGTATAGCTTCCGAGATTCGGCTATCGATCTTGATCAAGAATACCTGGACTTTTACTTTTCAACCTATACAATATAACCTTTTACTCTACGATATTAACCGATTGAATATAATAAATCTAACTTAAATAATTACCTTTTTGAATACCGAATTTAAATTTTTGCTAGTTTAAAAACTTTAATCCTCTAATATGCCTATAAAGCTAAACTAAATAAGAAATATATATAAATAATGTTCAATAATGATTAAGAAACACTTTAAGAAGGCATTTAAATTTTTGTTAAAAAACTAACATATATATTTCCGAAATTAAAATGCGAATATATAAATTGAATATAAGCAATTTTCCTGTGGTTTTCTTCCTGTGCCAAAGACGCGACTATCGTCATTCCCAATTATTCATGGATAATCTAACCCAAAATGGGACGTTAATTACTGGCGCATGTCAGTGGCATTTGGCCCCCTAACCCCTGACCCCCAACCCCCAACCTCTGACCCCTGACCCTCAATCCCTTCTTCGGCGATGTGTAACTGAAGTTGTGTGGCGTGAATTTGCTAAAGTACGGTTCCAACAATTTGCTTTTTTGTCCAACTGTAAACAGTGCGGATTCCGGACACCCAAGTCCCCAAAAGCCGACTCTCCGGCCATTTATCGGGTGATTAATTAAGCTGCAAGGACCAGCGAATGCAACTTTCTGCCGCTGACAACTCCCCGTGGAAAAAACCAAGTGGGCGGCGATGGGGCATTAAAGACATCCGCGAATTGATATTAAAAATATTAGGAAAAAAGCTCAAACCAGCAATAACAATAAGGTTTGAGTTTAAGTTTAATTAATTGTGGGGAAATATTTTCAAAGCGGATTAATAATTATGCCACTTTAAAATCTGAATTCAAATTAGAAATTCCATACCTAAAACTGTTACAAATAAATAACCACCATTTTAGTACATGTTATATACAAAACAAGCCCCAACATTTTGATGTATCTCCTTTTAAAATCGGAATCCTAAATCCATTCCGCAAGTCATTAAGAAGTTAGAATTATCGAAAAATCTAATTAATTACAATAATTCGGCATCCAAATGGTTAAGTTTTAGACCATAAACGTACAACTTTAGGTCACCTTTCTGCAAGTCGATAAAAAGTACCTTAGAAGTACCTTATATAAAACTGGCTAAATTAATTGACCCCCATTATTTAACAATTCAACTACAAATTTGTAGCTTAGCCATTCTGGCATCGGAGTTAAATAAGTTGAGTAATGAACATTGTAAGCGCCATACCCATTGTAAATCCCACCCATTCCAGTTAAAAGACGTTGTAACTTTGGTAAGATCTTTAGAAAATAAAACAGTTGCACACTTTCCGTCAGACAAATGACATTGTATGTATGTATATAGAGTTAGTGGTGATGGTCAGAAAAGAAAACACAATAATTCAGTTCCTGCGCACAAATAATCGTCGAATACTTAAGTCGAATAAGTAAAATGCAGGGATCTGTTGTAAAACCTCCAGATAAATCCTAAGCATGCTTGGGGTAGGTTCAAAAAAAAAATAATAAAACACGTATGCGTATGTATACTTTAGGCTTATGGCTACGTTTCCTTTCTCTTTTTAGTTTTTGTTTTTGTTTTCTGGGCAGACATCGATGGCCACATCGATGGCCTCCGCGATGGCCTAACTGTGGCCCAGCTTGTCCGCGATGAACTTGACAAAGTCGCTGCGGTACAGGATCTTTGGATTGTCCTCGGTGGCCAGCTCCTCCACCTGGCGCAGGTCCGTCCACTTCCAGAGCAGGCGACGGGAGTAGCTGTAGCGGAACGAGGCGAAGATCTCGGCGGCCTTCTTGCTGGGTATCTGCTCCTTGTAGTACGACTCCTTGTTCTTCACATTGAAGTAGTAGAGTTGGCCACGCGATCGCGAGTGCGCAGACACATAGTTGGTGGTCAGTTCGCAGAACATTAGTATGCCGCCGGGCACAAAGAACTTGTTGTCGTCGAGCGCATAGCCGAACCGCTGCGAGTTGTCCTTCAGAACATAGTGCCGCATGTCGGCGAAGAAGCTGGCCATGTCCTGCAGGCGAAAGAAGGGCTTGCTGCGCAGGGCGCCGAAGGTGCGCTCCTTGCGGTGCGGCTTGTTCAGACTGCGGGCGAACTTGTCGCACATGCTTACACGCTCGCGGAACGGCCGCCGCCGGATGTCGATGCCGCCCAGACAGATCCCATCGATGATGTGCAGCGCGGCCACACGCTGAATGGTCCTGCCCTCGCCGTAGAACTCGTACACGATCTGGCCGAAGAATATCGAACGCGGCTGCACCTCGAAGGCCGTCTCCACCAGCTCCCACTTCTTGTGCTCCGTGTAGCGCAGCAGGTTGCCGCGCGACTTGCACAGGAACAGGGTGCAGGCATTGATGTTCGTCTCCTCGCGGCCCACGGGCACAAAATACCAGTCGGCCACGTTCTGCACGGACATGCCCAGGCTGGCCACCCCGCTCATCTCGGTGGCCGGCAAATTTAACCAATTGCGATCGGCCGACCAGTCGGCCAGGAGCTCCTCGAGCAGCCGATCCGTCTGCTTGATCTCCGGCGCCTGGCGCAGCTTGTCGGGCAGACCCCAGCGCTTGAGGCACTCCTGTCGCACCTCCGACTGTTTGGTTTCCTTCAGCTCCGGATTCTGGGCGAAGGCGGCTATCTTGCGCAGGCCGACGATCTGCTTCTTGCCAATGGCATTGTTCGAGTCGATGATGTAGCGCAGGAAGTCCTCGTCCTCGGCCAGCTCGTTGGCATCGAAGATCTCGAGGACGTCGTGCTGGCCATCCTCCTGCTGCGACTCCTCGCCCAGCATGAGGTTAACCGCATTCAGATAGGCTATGATGGCCGCCGTCTCCGTGTCCGAGCGTTTGTACTTGCAGACCAGGTAGCGTTCCGAGTTCGCCGGCCGGCTGCTGTTCGGCTTGATGATGGCGATCTGGTGAAAGCACTTGTACATCAGATAGACCAGGCCAACGCTGAACGGCGTGAAGAGGTCGAAGATCTTGCAGACGAAGTTGCCATTTGGCCGCAGGATCTTAAGGGCGGTGAGGAACTGGCAGAGGTACAACTGCTTGGACAGGATCTCCTGGATGTTCTCCTGCCCCTCCACCGAGAATCCGCCGTCGGCCATCGCAAAGTGCACGCCCTGCGGCGTGTGCAGCCGTATGTACTCGTTCAGCGAGTCCTGGTTGCCCTCGTCGAAGATGTTGCCATCCTCTTTCACGCCGTAGAACGTGTCGAAGGACTCGGGCGAGGCGGCAAAGAACTTCTCCAGCTTGAAGTCGTTGGCGCCGCGCAGCGTGAAGCCGAATCCCTTGGCCTCCCAGGACTTGCGGAACAGGACGTACTCGGAGAAACCGCCAGGACCTGTGAGAAATAGAAAACAGCGGATTAGTCACTTTTCTTGCTGCTTACCGCCATAATTACCACAATGGGAAAATAGTTTCTTAATCTTAATTCAAATTATATTAAGTGTATTTTAAAAGATCTTGTGATATTCAGTTCGAAAAGTATCTTTTTGGGTTCTAATTAATACTCCTAATGCAAACTCAATTTAGTTAAATAGAAATTGTAGAACAAGCACCTCAAATGCATTTTTTAAACCATATTTGGACCATTTTAATCATGCTAATGTGTCATGTTTTCAACTTCAAATCTTTTAAATACGTTTTATGTATGTATATAAAGTTCTCAATAAAACTTTCGCAATAGAAACATTGCAATAATAATTGGAATTTTTGGGGAAATCCCCTTATCAAACAAGAATAAGGTTTTGGAAGGGGTAAGTAAATTCGCTTAAAGCATGCGCAAATGAAAACCGGTCTTTAGAAGCCGCCAATACAAGGACTTCACCTGCACACATGTCCGTGAAGTAGAGGAGCTCGTCATTGGCCACCAGGGACTGGCCATCGGGATCGCGGGGATTGGTGAACATGAAGTCGCACATGGAGTCGATGTTGGCCATCTTGACGGCGGCGCGATTGAGGAAGATGGAGCTGCGGATGGTCTCGAAGGGATTGCAGCGACTGCGTGCCCGCCGCTTCTCGCTGTCGTTGAGATCATCGAATACGGTTTTGGCATTGAGGATGTGATGCAGGATGGCCGGATCGCAGTAGCGTGTCTCCTCGTCCAGGGTCAGTTTCCGTGGCCCCGTGACGATGTGCCCCATCAGCTGATCCAAGCTGTAGGACCCAGCTCCCGATCCATCTCCGCCTGGATTGTGGAGCCAGAGGACCGGTTCGGGTATTTCCAGCTCCTCGCAGGCCGGATCCCATTGGCCGGCCGACGATTGAACCGTGTCCAATTTGAGGCCGAAGCCACGGCGACCGTCCTGCTGAACGGCGATGATCGGCTCGAGGCGACCCTGGTTGCTCTTGCCCAGGCCCTTGTCGTTCTCGTAACCCATCTTCTTCATCATTTCCATGGCCTTGTTCGAGTAGCTCTTCACCCACTCCCGCTTGATCTTCTTGGGCGTGGGCTCCGAGTTCTCATCGTCCGAGGGCTCGTCCATCTTGCGCTGCGCGACTGGATCTGGTGTGTGGCGTCCGGCGTCTGGTGTCTGGGATCTGGGATCTGGGAGGCACTTGCGGATCCTCGAGAATCTTTTTCTTTTTGTTTATTTGGTATATGCACGTCGGTGTGACCGTATGCCGAATGCCGATAAATACCAAATCTGAGGGTGACCGCATGGCTGCTTACAGAAGTAAAAATACCATTTAAATACTGCTTTACCGCAATTTGGCCGATTTTCAAATTAATTACAAGCAATTTAAATTTGGCAAATACATTTTATTCGTTTTTAATTAACTTTAATTCAAATGTCGAATTATTTAAAGGCTTGTTGATGATATATCTGTCAAATGTGTATAGTTAAATCGATTAAAATAAATTAGGCAAATAATTAATTAGCTGAAGTAATGTTTATTTCCAGGGCATTTATTTCAAAAGAATATTCAAATATATTAAATATTTTATAAATCAAATAGGATTATAAACGGTCTTAAAAAATAGTAAAAAAAAAGGAACGATATATAATTGTTGTTCATTCAGTCTGTAGAAATATAGTAGGAATTCACTTCTGTTTCGCTTAATTATAATGGCTTACAACACAAAATTTCAAAACAATTCAAAATGATTTTTAAAATTCTTTGTTTGCAACAGAATATATAAAATCTAAACTGGAAACTTTTTGTTCATGCATTAATGCATATGATTCATTCATTCTGTTGAAATATTACAGGGACTCATTCCTTTTCACTTAATTTTCAATGTTTTACAAGACAATATTTCAAAATAATTCAAAATGATTCTAAAAATTCTTTGTTTATAACAGAATCTATATAATATAAACAAAAAAAAGGCAACTGAAAAATAGCTGCTTAGTTTTTCTATATAATAATCAAGTATCCAAGCATTCAATGCATTAAGTGGGCAAACCTGTTTTCAATGGGCCTCAGCTTACAAACTACAAAATTGGGGATCTAGACCGACCAAGAAAAGCTGACTGATGTGATCGACTAGGAGCTCTACATCTTCTCATACGTCTCGCTGTACGGACAGGTGAGGCAGGTGTGCGTGTAGGTGTCCTCCTCCTCGTTATGGGTGTCCGGTCCGAACTCGTGCTCGTGGACGGCGTGCGTCTTCTTGGTGTAGATGCTGCTGCGCACCTCCATGCGCAGCTGCTTCATCTGCTTGTTGTACTTGCGCGCCTTGCCCACCTCGCGCTTGTCCTCGCGAGACTCGTGCTGGCGCACCAGCTCCTCCTCGCTGCCCCAGACCTCCATGGCGCGCTGCTGGATCTGCAGATGGAGATACAGCTTCATCTCGCCCCAGCGCACGTTGTGCGGATTCTTGCGGCTGATGAAGCGCAGCTTTGGTTCTCGCTTGTCGAAGTCGCAGTCCTTCAGCAGATACTCCGCCTTGGCCTCCGTCCGGGTGATCAGGGCGTGGCGATCATCGTTGTCCCGGCACTTGTCGCACACCGAGTGCCCAAAGTTGTTGAACAGATAGGAGTCGGCGTACTGGTCGCCGCACTCCAAACACTCCTCGTACTGCACGGGTATGGCGATGGCATCGTCCAGGATAACAGGGGCCTCCTCTCCACCGGATTTGTTTAGTCCCGGCTGCCCATTTGTGGGCAGGACGGGCTGCTCCAGCAGGAATCCTCCGCCACTGTCTATGTACTTGGTGCCCTGCACCTTGATCACAGAGCTACCCTGGCTGAGTGCAGCCTCCGGGTGCATGCCTCCATCCTTGTTGCTGGCGAGGGATTAGAGTTTCAAGTCTCCCGTTTTGACAAGGACAATGGGAAAAGGACAACTCACCTGGCCAGATCCTTAAATGGATGCAAAACCAACTTAGCCTCTCGCAATTTCTGCGCCTTCGCCAGATTCCTCTCGATTCGCGCCTTTTGGGCATTGGTCAGCTTGGATACCTTCTCCGCCGGCGGAGCAACTGCATCTGCAGCAGTGCCTGAGTCCTTGGACATTTCCATTTCACAAGGTTTTGTTAAGCGCGTTAAATTTGTTTAATTTGTATACGATATGCTTCTTCTTTCCGATTTGACATTCCATGCGAACGCTCTTCTATCCATCTGGTATCTTTTGCAGTATTTTCAGGGCTGAAAAAGCCAGGAGTTCTGTCAAACGGTATTTCAAATATTTTCATTCCAATAGTTTTACTTTTTATAAAAGGCTTTTTGATTTATAATTTCGTTTCAATGAAATAGTGAACACTCTTTTTCATTTTTAAAGTTTATGTCAGAAGTGGTATGTTTTCAAAAGTTGTTATTTTTGTTGTTTTAAAGGATTCCTCATAAGTAAGAGATTTCTCATAAAATTATATTTAAAAATAGCCTGGGTGCTGTTCACTTTGTCATCAAATCATACAAATACAATACATACATTTCAAAGAAGAATGTAGCAAAGCTTTAAAAAATATTTTTATTGATAAAACTGTAGCTTATAAAAATATAATTCTTAAGTGAATCGATGCTCTTAATTATTGTTTCAAGTGCAGGCATTTGCCAACCAGTATTTCCGTCCGATACGGTCACACTAATAGTTTTCCCTATACTCTTGCAGAGAGTACTATAATTCTAGTCGGAAGTTTGCATTGCAATCAAAGAGGCATATATTCGATTATAGAAAGTATATATATTATTGATCAGCCATGTTGATATATAAGCATAAATAATTGATATATAGATTATTAAATGTATTTAGTTTTACAGAAATTAACTGTTCAGATGAGTGTGCAGACTTGTATATTTCCCTATAGCCAGCAAGGGCATGCAAAGTTCGGCTTACCAAAGTTTATTTTCCGCCTTGGTTTGTTTTGATTTCGGTTTGGTTTGGTCGCCATGCAGAGTAAACACTACAGACTGCTGCTGCGATGCCTCCTGGTCCTGCCCCTCATCCTGCTGGTGGACTACTGCGGTCTGCTGACCCACCTGCACGAACTGGACTTCGAGCGGCACTTCCACTATCCGCTGAATGACGACGGAGTCGGTGCCTCTGGAATCGAGGGCTACTCCTACCTGCGAATGCCCTCGTTCACGGCCGAAATTCAGGCCAAGGATCAGCCCCCGCGGCTCACCCTGCTGATCAAGAGTGCCGTGGGCAACTTCCAGCGACGGGAGGCCATCCGGCGCACTTGGGGCTACGAGGGACGCTTCTCGGATGTCCACCTGCGCAGGGTTTTCGTGCTGGGCGGCGGCCAGGAAAAAAGCGAAAAAGACGTGGCCTGGGAATCCCGCGAGCATGGGGACATCCTGCAGGCGGACTTCGTAGATGCCTACTTTAACAATACACTGAAAACAATGCTCGGCATGCGCTGGGCCAGCCAGCATTTCAATCGCAGTGATTTTTACCTCTTCGTGGACGACGACTACTACGTTTCGGCCAAGAATGTGTTGAAATTCCTGGGCAGAGGACGGCATAGCCACCAACCGGAGTTGCTGTTCGCCGGCCATGTCTTTCAGACATCGCCGCTGCGTCACAAGTTCAGCAAGTGGTATGTGTCACTCGAGGAATACCCCTTCGATCGCTGGCCGCCGTATGTGACCGCCGGAGCATTTATGCTCTCGCGAAAGGCGCTTCTTCAGCTCTACTCTACCAGCGTCCATGTGCCGCTCTTCCGCTTCGACGACGTCTATTTGGGGATTGTGGCACTAAAGGCCGGCATTCCCCTCCAGCATTGTGGCGAATTCCGCTTCCATCGGCCCACGTACAGGGGTCCGGATAGCTACAGTTCCGTAATAGCCTCGCACGAGTTCGGCGATCCCGCGGAGATGACACGCGTGTGGAACGAGTGCCGATCCGCCAACTATGCGTAGCATAAAGGACCTGGACGAGATTGTATATACGAATGAGTCACCACCTATAGACAACAGCCTTATCAAAGTAGAGTAAAGATAGTATTAGTTAATACCGCGACTATTTTGAGAGATTTATAATAAGAACTTAAGCAAGAAAACTTTTTTTTTATTTTTCCACTATGTTCAATTAATGCGTCTTCTTATATTATTTTAAATTATTACCTTCTCAATGTTTAATAAAAATAAGTAATACTTTTAAAAACTACCAAATGGCAAAGTGTATGTTTTTTTATACAATTCATTAAAGTGTATGTACATTACTTATAGTTCAAGTACTACCCATTAAAACAAATTTTCAATAAATCTGTTACACTATTCAGCACATTATTTATTGTTTATTTATTATTGCTCGACTGATTTCCTCGTAACCCATATCTTGAGTAAGCAAATCAAAAACTTGCACATCGATTGTTTTTATTGTTTTCCACAAAGTTTGTAAGCCAAATAAACCCTTAAAGTTGCCAAAGCTTTTGTAAATAATAAACATTTTGAAGTGTGCGATTTCCATATACTTTTTATTGTGGCCTTAAAATAGATCCGGGAAATATGAGAATAAATAAGAATTAATAAACCATATAATTGTTCCCCTTTTGTTACAAATTAAAACATATACTGATCAGAAAACGATTCAAAATTGATGATGCAATGATATGTATATGCAATCCTCCCAAGATGATGGATTTTAAACTTCATAATTATTATGGGTCGAGTCCCTGATAGCAACTTTCCTAGTTTCGAACCATGGATTGAAGGTGCAATTTCGAAAACCTGTAAGATACGAACGACAAAGGATTTAAATTGCAGAATTAAGTATAGAATTTGTATTATTGTTATTGCTTATGCTCTGTGATAACAGAACAAGAGTATAGTGGCATCATTAAAAATCCAAATGGGAGAACGATGTTCAAATCCGGATGGATCTGGTTCCGCAAAACGGTCACTCTGGAGGTATAAAAACCGCGCAACTCTGCCGAGCCGCAGTATTAAATTTTAAAACGTCCAGTTAGCTTGAGCTCCGCTTCGCGACAACAAATCCGAGGGTTAAAATTCGCAAAGTGTACAGCTATACATATATATAAGGCCCGACCCCGCCAGCATCCCAATTCTTAGTAATCCTCTTTGCCAATCCAAAAAACCAACGCCAAAAACCAAATTAAGGTGAGCTTACTTCAGTTTTTTAGTTCCCAATAGAGGTTATTGTAATATCTTTTTTTTTAATGTCCGATGGGTGATCGCCGGTTATTTCTTTTGCTGCGGAGATGGGGGTACAAAAAAAAAAATAAGTGGAACTGGTTTTTGTTGACTGCGCTTCTTCATTGATTGCAAAAAATGGCAGCGGATTTGTTATAAATATTTATTGTGCTGGTCTAGTCCGTTACTTTTTGCTCTTTCTCTTTACGTTTGTCTTTCTCTCAATTTTCATTTCTTTTCTTTGACTTTGTAACTTTTTTCTGCAGCTGTTAAATCGCTTTTGTCGCCGCCTTCTTTTGTTGACTATTTTTTTATGTTTTAAACTTCAGAAATCCCTCTGTTTTTGTATGCGTGTGTGTGTGTGCCGGCCGGCATTTTACTTCATTTTTTGCCGTCTGCCTTTTATATATGTGTGTGTGTGTGTGCTTGGGCGGGGCGCATGTGGTTGTTGTTGCTGCCCAATATCCTCCCCCACAGTCGAGGTCACAAAAAAAATTTGGCACTTTGTCTAAATTAATAAAAATAAATAATATTTAACTTTGTTGAAAATAAAAAATATATATATATATATGTTATAAACCCATTATTAAGTTAAATGATTCATTCAGTGGACACATGAAATGTGATATGGCTAAGTTTTATAGAAAAAAAATTAACACAAAAAGTTCAAAATTTTGTACTTGCCAACAGTGAGGGTCACAAAAAATAACACTTTATTTTGTGGAAAGACAAAGATTTAAAATCCATTACTGAAAATTAATTTGAACATTGTTAAACAGTAAACAAACTTACAACTTGTTGTTAAGATTACTTTTAATACTTAATTTCAGATTTAAAATTAAGCCCAAATTTGGTCTTCGATTTTATAAGGAAACTTTAAAATATATTTTTAAACGTAATGTTATTTGATTAAAATGTTTAAGAAGTTTTTTTTTATCTACATTTCAAGGGAAACAAGCGATGTTTTTAGGTCTCAATTTATTTTAACAAAAATGTATTTTTAATTTCCTCCGACATTAATTAATAACAGCAGATAAGAAACAAATTAAAAACAAAACTTAAAACTAATTTGTTTATTTAACAATTTATAAAGATGAAGACAGTAAAATTGTATATTTTTAAAAAGCTTCCAAGTTGTTAGTGCTATTATCGTGACCTCGGCTGTTTTTAGCATGAGTGTGATGCGAATTTTACTGGGCGTGGCAGTCGTGCCTCATTGTCACCAGAATGTATGGGATATCCAATATCCAGCGATTTTGAAATTGAATATATGACTAAACACAACCGCCTGCATGATATTTATATATAATGTGCATATGTATGTACTTAAAATTCATTGCAAGTCTCTGTTCCTCTCTCGCTCTCTCTCTCTCCTTCGCCCCCTGCTCCACACAAACACACACATGTGCATTTCTGCAGGAGTATTTATGAGGGTGTAATTGTAAAAGCGGACGTGTCTGTCATTTCTCATTTCTCCATCTCCTTTTCGCTCTCTCCTCTTCACCCTTTCTTCGTGTCTCTGCTTTAAACTCCTTTCGTCTGAGTGCCACGCATCAGCAACTTTGACTCATTTTACTTTACATATAAACCTATTCCAAAAAGCAAATTCTTTTACATATATTGTTGTTTTTAACGGTCTCTTGCCGCCGTCTGACTTACTCCCCCAAACAAAAAAAGATATATGTATGTTTGTATGAACATACATATCTATACAAAAAATTAACCAAAAACAGGAAGAAACAAAAAGAAAAAGGAAACGAAAAGAAAAGAAAGAAAAGCTTACAAAGTCAAGAGAAAAGAAGAAGCACAGCTGTGTGGGCAAACGATAAATTCAACATATAAAAATACATACCAACAACTCATGTACATACATATGCGATATAGCGATGATTCATCGGCGGCTTTTAAGCGGGGCGACCATATTTCGAAGTTGGAAGTTGATTCACGGCGAACTTCATTTGCCCCCGCCCCCTGGAAATCACCGTCCTCCTCTTTCTTCCCCTCATCCAAACACTCCCACTTTGTATGTATGTATACATTGTTGGTTTGTTGTTGCCTCTCCTTTGTTCGCTTCAAGGAGCTGACTAATACGACACTCGGCTTACACGATTTCCAATTAATCGAAATTCAAATTGAGCGTAACGATCGCCATAAGTCAAGCCCAACAAATAAAAGCCGTAAAACTGAAACAGCATTTATATATTATTATTTTATAGCTAACACAATTATTAGTATATTATTAACATAATGTCTAAACAACCCAAAAATTCTTAAAAAGAATATCCAATGAACTAAACATTTAAAGTAATTTCTAGACCGGGTTATAAATCGCTCTCCTGCTCACTTGCGATTTTTTCATTATTGGTTCATCGATGTTATTTTCGGTAGCGATTAGAAACTATGACCAATTCATCAGCAATATAAAAATAAAGATTAGAAAACGATGTTTGTGGTTTGCAATAAACAATTAATCACCAGTTAAAACTAAACTGTTTTCATATAGTTACAAAAAAACCTATTTTTGTAGAATTTTTAAACTGGTTGCCATTTAGAAGTTTTTTTTTAATATAAAGATTAGTTTTTCAACTTGAAAATAAAATGGGTGTACCCTTGAAAAATGTTGTACATAATGGAAAGTTAAGCTTAGTTTGACGATCGCTGTAAGATTGCGGCATGAACCAAGTTGAGATAGAGGCTTTTGTGGGGAGAAGTGGGGATTGTGCGGAGATAGGCGACCGTTAGTCAGTTAGTCAATCAACATGATTGGCCAGTTGGCTTGCGGCCTGTGCTTTACGACCATTTATGGTTATAAATGTGCAAATAAATATAGATTCGCGATGCTTTTTTCCCCATTCAGTTCAGTTCAGTTTGTTTTATTTTTTTGGCGCGGTCGCTGCCCTTGTAACGAATGCAATTTCAGCGCAGCGCAGCTGTTCGAAAGCAATGCAATGCGAGTGATGACTTGATATTGATACCGATATCTCAATACACAAAGACGATTCTTTGTCCAGCATAATAATTCCGATTGGAATTGAAAATGAAAATGGCATGGCACGCACACTCGAATTTCGCAACTAAAAATAAACGTGATAAAATGCAGTTTAACCGCTTGCCGGGTACACATGCCTTCTGATAAGAATGCCAGTGCTATAAAACAAAGGCCAAGAACAAGAAGCAACAGCAAAGCAAAGCAAAACCAATTGGAGTCGTAATCTGTTTCCAGTTGGAAAGGTTCGCTGAACTCTTTCTTTCTCTTTCCTCCTGTTTTTCTGATTGAAGACACACACACACACACACATGACTCGTCCTTGCTGGATCTGTGTGCGTTTTGAGTCATCTTTATCGCCCCACATTCGAATGATTAACTTTTTTCTTGTTGTGTTCTATCGCTTGAGAAATCGGCCAGCTAAAATAAATAAAAAACCAACGGTCAACAAAGAGATATTACGTTTCGTTTCCACAGAAAATGAATTATTTATTAAGGCGCAACATTGGTATCAACAAAAGCAAACAATAAAGAACAACAACAGATCGTCTATCGGAGCGTTGGCTTCCTCCCTTTTCACTTATTCGCCGATAGCATCGATATCCTCTTCCGGCTCGGCTCCAATTGGACGGTTAGAAATCGTATTGGACTAATCGGTTTATGATTAATCAGTCAAATTTAAATCTATAATAACAAATTGCATTGATAATTCAATGAAATACAAATTAAAATATATTTGTTACAGTTAAACTTATTGTAAAAATTAATAATTAACTATCGTTAAATGAACCAAAAAAGGGCAAAACAAACTCCCATATCGTTAAACAAATAACAATAAGCTTTTGCTATCTACCTTAAAAAAGGTTTACTAATCAGAAAAAAAAATTGCGATTTGGTTCTTTGCAAACAGGGAAAGAATTCTGGTAAAACATTCTAGCTACTGTTATCTAATGACTACAAACAAATGTTTTGATGTGGAAGTTTTATTACATTATTTTTCGCCTTAGTTAATATGAAAGTTTTTTAGTGTTAATTTAATTTTTGATTTGTTAAGAATAAACACTATCATAATTGCCAAAGCTTTCTCCTTTACAAGAAAAAAAAAGAAAAATATTCTGATGATAGATTGGCCCATTCAGTCATTATAAAGAAAATTTAATCTTTGGCTGTGCAAATGAATAATGTTTAAGGCCACTCAAGATCTTATAATGATGTTTTCTGGAAAAAATTACTGTTTTCGTAACATCAACTTGGGCATAGAACTAATATATTTTTGGGGGATTTTTGATCTACAACATGTAAATAATAAAAAATGTTTATTTTACAGATGGCCGCCCCAGCACCAGCACTTAAGGATCTGCCCAAGGTGGCCGAGAACCTGAAGAGCCAGTTGGAGGGCTTCAACCAGGACAAACTGAAGAACGCCAGCACCCAGGAGAAGATCATTCTTCCCACCGCCGAGGGTGAGATCAGAGATCCGGAGGACTTCCTTTGTTTGATATCCCAATAATATACATGCATATCTTCCCGATAAACAGATGTGGCTGCCGAGAAGACCCAGCAGTCGATCTTCGAGGGCATCACCGCCTTCAATCAGAACAACTTGAAGCACACGGAGACCAACGAGAAGAACCCGTTGCCCGATAAGGAAGGTGCGTTGTAGGCCATCTACTCTACTACTCCACTATATAATGTATAGTTTGGTGTAGTGTATGTATGTGGCCATAAAAGCCAAAGACTGGCTGCCTTAGATGGCAAGTGCACTGCACGCTCTATAATTGTGTTTGGTTTGTTTCTTCTCGACTCTGAATTGCAGCCATCGAGCAGGAGAAGGAGAAGAATCAGTTCATCGCCGGCATCGAGAACTTTGATGCGAAAAAGTTGAAGCACACCGAGACCAACGAGAAGAACGTGCTGCCCACCAAGGAGGTGATCGAGGCCGAGAAGAAGGCTTAAGAAGGGGGTCCAAGTCCGGTCCAATCCGATCCGATCCGAGATCAGCGATCAGAGATCCAAGATCCGATCCTCAGTCACCCTCAGTCGTCTACTTTTCGTCTCGCCGCATCTCACAATCTTTATACTTATAAAAACAAACTATTCCCTCTCATTTTTCCAACTGCTGCAAAGTATTTTACTATTGTTTTTTTTTTTTTATCTATTATTATTTTTATATATTTTTTGTATTAACAAGCGAGAGAGCCAGTCTCATTCCTACAGCGTAATTAACATAAAATAAACATTCGTCTATCCCATATATTTGTGCATAAATGTTTCCAAAACACACACACACACCACAACACAACACACATCATCATCGGAGGAATTTAAAATCGCAGATACAAAGCAATACGAACGACAGCCAACTCACTCAGAACAATTTTACACTTGCGCAAAAAGAAAGAAAGACAGCAAATATATGAGAAATACTTTTTAAAAGACACGAAAAAACAACGCGTATGAAGCGTATAAAACAGAAACCAGAAAAACAAAAGAACATACGAAAAAGAAATACGGTAGAAAACCATCTATATAAAGAGTATGTGTAATTTTTTAATGAACTTTTTTTTATATACTTTACATACGATATATTTATACTGGGAAAAATAAAAACATAAATGTAACATTTTATAACAAAAACGTACTAAAAATTCTACGACTCGTTCTTGATTTTGGGTGGATTTTAAATACATTTGAGTACATTTTTTCTTTTTGTTTAAAAAGTTTTGAAAAATGATGGCAAAAAGGAACCTCTGATTTTGTTTTGCGGTGACCAAATTGCATTAAGCCGCATCGTTTAAGAAAAAATAATGTCAACTGTTTTAGTTAAACAAAGTAGTGTTTAAATAAAATCGAACGATTAAAGACTAAAATATTCGTTCTTTAGTTTACAAGTTATGTTGAACACCGCATTCAAAATCGGCATTTCGAAAACACTGATTTTTAAGTCAATTTAGTTTGAAAAATTCTTTATATTTCAAAGTTACAACGTAAGGTGTCCCTTTGACTGAAAACGAAAATGCATTAACTTTGTCCACATAGAGGGGAATATATACTTTTGATTCGTTATAATTGTACAAGCCACTCGCAAGGTGGAATTGGTCCGCTTAAATGCTAGTTTTTCCTTGCGTTCTATCCTCGGGTACTAACTCTTGGTGGCCCCCTCCTCGGTGTCCATGGGCGTGGTCGGAGCGACCCCCTCGCCGGAGGATTCAGATTCAGGTCCCGCATCCACAGCCACATCCTGGCCAGATTCGGTGGCCGCCTGCGCTGCAGCAGCGGCGGCGACTCTCGCCTCCTCGTACTTGTTGGTCTCGAACTTGCTGAGATCGGCGCCCAGCAGGCGCAGGATGTGGATGGTCTCGTCCTTGTGGACATAGGCGCGCAGGCTGGAGGTGCCGCGCCAGCCCACCGTGTACAGGGTGAACCGCTCGTCCACGTACTTGAGGATGCAGCTGCCCACTCCTGAAATTGGTCAATCATTAGTGCGATTCATTAGAGACTGCGACTGGGCAGAGTAGAACTTACCCAACTCCTTGCAGCGCTCCTGGGTCTCCTTCTTCAGCTCGTGCGTCGATGGGGGCTGCGTGGGATCGGTGCAGTTGAGCATCATCACCAGATCCTCCCGCTCCACCTGGATGCGTCTGTTGGCGCCCATGAAGGCGTTCGAGGTCTGCAGCCCCTCCTGGGCCAAGCGGAACGGATGCACCGTGTGGCGGTTCTCGCAGCGCACAAATGTCTTCACGCCCGTGTTGATGATCTTGATGTTGTGCTCGTTGTTGACCACCAGGTCGCGGATGGCCTCCGAGCAGTAGTAGATGTTCTTCTTTTTCTCGGTAATGCAGCGGGTGAGCAGACACCGTTGGCTAAGCGATTCGTCCAGCTGGTAGAACTCCTTGATGGCCGCGTAGTCGGCATCGTTCTCGCCGAAGAACACATACGGATCCTCCTTGTAGCCGTGCAGTCGTCGCTTCTTCCGCTGCGGTCCCCACGGCACGGCCTTCTCACCCACCGGCTGGCCCCGCCCATCGAGCTCCGGCTCAGTTGGTGGGCTGGCGGGCTGCTTGGCCATCTCATTCTGCTCGAGCAGCGCGGCCACGTCGTTCTTCTCGAAGGCCAGCTGACGACGCTTCTCGAGGACGGCCACAAAGAAGCCGCCACTGTCCTGCAGATGCGGCAGCACCCTGATGCACTTCTCCAGCCCGATGCTGGCCATCTCGGCGGCGGGCAGCGGGAACATGCCCGGTCGGATGATGGTGTGCAGGCTCTCGGGCACCTCGTCGAAGCTGGTGAAGATCTGATCGACCTCCTTGGTGGCCAGCTTCCAGTCGGTCATGCCCGGCTTGTACTTGAGGCCCGGCACCAAATGGCCCGCATCGACTAGCTCCAGGGCGCCGTCCGCCTCCTTGAGGATGCGCTGCAGCACCGCCTCATTCTCGATGGGATTCAGCGAGCAGGTGGAGTAGACCAGGCGACCGCCCACCTCCAGCATTTCGGCGCCACGTCGCACAATCCGGTACTGAATGCCATGCAGATTGTAGGCCTGCGCCAGGTTCCACTTCAGCCAGATGTCCGGGTTCTTGCGCAGCGTGCCGTCGCCCGAGCAGGGCACATCGCACAGGATCTTGTCGAACTTGAGGATGCCGTGGGAGCCATCCGGCTGGCTGATCAGCAGATTGGGGAAGGCGCTGCTGTCGTGGTTGGTCACCAGCAGGCACGGCGAGTTGAGGCGCTTGGCCTGGTGGACGAGCATGTAGCAGCGGTTGTTGTCCACATCGTTGGCCAGCACAAAGCCGGGCGGGATCTTGTGCTCCTCGGGGGCCGCATGCAGGGCCTCGATCAGCTGGGCCGTCTTGGAGCCGGGGGCGGCGCACATGTCCAGCACCTTGTCGGTGGGCCGGACGTCCAGGACAATGGGGGTATCATGGAGACGGCCTCCTGCCGACTGATGCCGCCCGCCGTCGTCTCGACGATAAGGAAGTTGTGCAGCCGGTAGAGCGGCTCCGAGCGGCGGATGTCCTTGCGGGTGAGGTGCAGCTGGTAGGCCAGACCGTTCGGGTACCAGGGCAGGCACAGCGGGCGCTCCACATCCTCGGGCGCCTTCTGGTGCAGCTCGGCCACCGCCCGCACATACTCGGTGAAGAGCTGCGACTCGATGATCGCCAGCAGGGCCTTGGCCTCGTCCTTGAATCCCGTCACCCGGAACGTGGTGGGCAGGTTGTCCCTGATGGAGTCGAGGAACTGCGTCCACTCCTCCTCGCTGGCGCAGATCTTCTGCAGGTGGTAGTACTTGATGAAGAACGCGTTGTCCCTCTTTATTTCCTCATAGGGCAGGGCTCTGCGATCGGGGCGCTCGGGACCCTATAATTATTATAAGTTAAATAATTAAATAATAGTTTAAAATGGGGAAAACGTGGAGTGTTTTTCCAACTGAGTTGTAGCATTAAGCCACTCACATTTTCACGCTTTTGACGCTTGCGGGCCGCAAAGGGATTTTGCTTCTTGTTCCGACCCATTTATTTAGCTGCTATCTATTAAATCCACAAGACAAGTTAAATAAGAAAGGCTAGCAACGTTTATTTATTTTCCAAACGACACGAATAAATAAAACGTGTTCGCCGGCTTTCTGGCAACTCTGGCGCTCGAGCGTTGCCGGACATGAAGGGTGTGAGCAAAGGTAATTAGTTCTAGCTTATTATTTGCCTTTGCAGCATAAGCTATTATTATAGTATTTTACTTTTAAAACGACATCTTACCAGACTTAACATATATTATTCAAGTTAGTAAATATGATTACCACTATATCGACACAAACATTATTAAATGCACCAATTGTGTTAAATAAAATACCTTCAGTTAAATAACTACAAAAACCTAATTTTAATGCAAAAACATTCAATTAAAAGTACGAACTATACACACAACTTTTTTGTATAATTTTATCATTAATAATCAAATTAAAAAGCCAGATTTGGCGTGACAAAAAAAGCTAGAGTGTCATCCTCGTTAGCAGTTATCGATTGATGCCTCTAGCCAGTCACTTTAGTTATCGAATCTGAATTTCCCTCTTTTTGCAGTTATTAAATAGGCAAAAAGGGACGAGAAAGAAAGTGGGTAAAGGAGTTGAAAGTGAACTTCAAATGGCGACACCACCCACACCGAATTCATACACCCCACCCGCACTTTCAGAGCGGGACGACATGAAAGACATCCAGCTCCTGTTGCAGCTGGAGGCGACGCGTCGTTTCCAGGAGGACAGACGCAATGTGCGGCGCCAGGTGGAGGAGCAAGTGCGTCAGTGGCAGGACGTGAAGTTCAAGTATAGGCAGGCATATCAGCGCCTGGCGAGGCTTTTAAAGTGCGCCGCCCTGCAGACTGCAGTGGACGCCAAGCGCGCTGCCGATGTGGATCAAATCGCTCAGGCGGCAAAGGACATCGACGGTTTACGCTCTACCCTCAGCAGAAATCTGCGCCCCGCCAGTCTGGACACCACAAAGCTGGATCAGTGCCTGGAGCAGCTCAGCACCGCCCACAAACCGCGCTCGAATCTCAGCCGCCAGCATCGGGAGTCCGCCCACAATCAGGAGACTCTCAAGGATCTGCGCATTGCCGTCGATTGTGCGGAGTACGACCTGGAGCTTGGCATAACCAAGGCCATGAATCGCATAGTGGACGACCTACTCCCTCCACGGTCTTCTTGAAATTATACGCATAGTTGAGATATAAACTAGTTTGTAACATTAAAAATGCATTTAAATGAAATGAAATAAATGAAACCTATGAGCTACAACGATTCCACATCCATCCGGTGTAATGGCATTCTAAAACAAAGGTTGAAAGCGGCTCAAATTGAGTTGTCGACAAGCATGGCCAGCGGACTTACCACTTGGAGCGCTTCGACCAGTCTTTGGGCGTCCAATGCAGGCACTTCGAGTCGATGCGAATCTTGCGCTTGTCCATCGCCCGCCGATGCTGCTCGATGGTGTCCCGGTTGATGCACACGATGTACTGGCCCTTGTAGTAGTTAATCAGGTTCAGGTTCTGCAGCGTGGAGATCACGTCCTCCTTCTTGATCGAGGTGCATTCGCAGATGTCGCTGGAAGAGGTTCAAATAAATTGAAATAAAGATAAGCGATATTAAAGGCTAAACCCTCACTTTATTGTTATGGTGGGCTTCTCGCCATCCGTGCTCGGATTCTGGCTAATGAAGATCTCCAGTATGGTCTGCGCCCAGTAGGATCGATAGGAGAGCAGGCCCAGATCCGACAGCGGCTTCTCCGGCGAGCCAGTCTTGCCCTCGAACTTGGACAGCTCGTAGCTGAACTCGATGAGCAGCTTGCCGTAGCCCTTGCGCTGATACGGCGGCATTGTGAGGATGCAGGCCACGTTGTAGTCCTCGGTGCTCTCCTTCTCCTTGGAGAAGTAGCCCACGATGTGGAAGCCGCGCGAGTCGAACTCGGTCATTACGTAGAAGAGAAAGGGATCCGTGTCATAGTAAAGTGTCTTGTGGTCGAGAAACAGTTTGGCCAGCAGGCAGAGGTTCTGGGCATACACCTTGTTCTTTCGCCCGTCGATTTCGAAGAAGGAGATGGTGTGCTTGCGGTAGATCTCGTTTCCGGGCGGATGCCTCAGGTTGCATTTGGACAGGTGCCGCTCCAGGCATTTCCTGCTCTTCCTGTACTTCAGGCAGAACTCGCAGATGTAGATGCAGGACATCTGGCACAACTCCTGCGGATAGGGTGAGAAGTACCAGGGCTTGATGCGATGCCTGCCCAGCTCGATCATCTCCACGTTCTTCATGCGCGTCACCACATCGTCCTGGTGCGTGACCATGCTGCCCGACTGCCGCGGCGTGGGCGTCTTGCCATCCTGCGAGCCATCGCCATCCTCGTTGGCTGCTCCAGTGATCAGCCCATCGCCCGTCACGTGGACGGGCGTGGATGTGGGCGTTTGTGGCGTGGCAGGATGCGCTAGTGGCTGCTGCTGCTGCTGCGGCTGCACCTGCAGACTGTGTTGGCCGTGGGCCGATCCTCCGTGCACTTTCCTCTTGCGATTAATGCGCTTCTGCAGGGCTGCAGCCAGATTGTTGCCATTGACCAGTTCGCCGCCAGTGCTGGGCGTGCCCGGGGGAGCCACCAAGCTGGGCAGGGCAGCCGGCGGAGGAGCCCCACCGGCCACCTGACCACTTGGAGTCGATTGGCTGGCGGCCAGGGCGCCGGAACCAGGATGTTGCGGCGATGTGGGCCGGGACACACTGCCCGCCAGCGAGTGGTGACGCTGGGGAGTGGTCACCCCGGTACTGGTGCCCGTTTGGGAGCCGTCTCGCCGCGGGAACTGCACTTTGCGGGTGTACAGGTCCTCCTCGTTGACCCACTCGTCCAGACGCTTGTTAACTGGCGGGAATTTGGAGTTATAAATGGCATGCAGATCCACGCCAGAGCTTCCTATACTCACAGTCCACATAGTGCACGTAGAACTGGCGCCGGCCGTCCAGCTCCTTGATGCTCACAATCTCCGCCAGCGGCCAGTCGTCCGTTTTGTGCATCCTGACGGGCAGACGACATCCTTCGGTGAGGGCGGCCTGAAAAGCACGAAAAAGCGATTATCTCCATTCCAGAATAGGGCCAAGGAACAAATCAACTCACCGTTGACTCACAAATCGAGGCCACATCGTCGTCGAATTCATATTTGTGGTTAATTTTCATTATTTGTTTTGTTTGTTTTTATTTTTTTCTAAAATAAAAACAGCTAGAGATGGGTACCTAACCAATTATCGAGTCATCGATAGTCAGTGACATCAGCGGTTTAAGAATATCGATGACCAGTGCTGCGCAGCGTCGCCTTTTTCAAAGTGCTGCAAAATACAACAACAATTCCGCAGTGTTCTCTTCGGTTCGGAATTTTTTCTCATGTGCCTACTGTGCAATTAAACAATTTCGCCCGCTTACAGACAGCTGTAAGATAATAAGAGCACAATTGTTAATAACTGAACGAAAAGACGCAGCTAATGAATGCAGCATTTTGAGTGTGTGTTTATTTCAATTGCCAAAAACCATAAAAAACGCCGAGAAGGTCAGAAAAATGTACACAGGCGCATACCTGCGCCCGTGTGTGTGTGTGTGTGTGTCCGTATGTGAACGTGTGCGTGTGAGTGCGCAGAAAGTTATACCAGCTGTCATCGACTGGCGTATTTATCAATAAATAACTACTGTGATCAACAGAAAACTTCAGTTACTGGGTAATTGCATATATAACTAGGGGATAAAGTGTTCAAAAGGGTAAAAAGTTGGCAGGACAACTGGGGAATATGTGAAAAAAGTGGCAAAATGACGTGTTTTGCGCTAGTGTTGCCACTGACAACAGCCGTAGGGTTGCCAACTAGCAGGGGGATTTTTAAAATTTGGTGATGTGAGGTGTTACTAGTTAATAGGCAAAAGGGTTAAACATTTTTAGTGTTTTTATTTATTGGGAGTCTTAATATTAACCTGGTTTTCGCCGATCAAAGGGTTGCCTTAAACATAATCCTTTAAAAGAACAACAACTGGTAACCCTGGCCTCTAGCGCAGTTGGCAACACTGCGCGGCTTGACAGGCACAAAAAAAAAACTAAGGAATATGCGAAAAACCCTCTGCTTTTTAAAGAAATGTGAAACCAGTGGCCCGCAAAAGGGCCACTAAAGCCAGCAGACCACCCGCCGCCCTTCCCCGCCTACTTGACTGCACAACCACAACAACAACAAAAACAGCAGAATACCCAAAACAGTGGCCCAAATGTGTCTTCAATATCATCCCTCCATTTTAATTGCAGCTCCGAGCGCACATATTTCCGTGTTCCCGGCGATTCCCGGACATTAAGCAGGCGTACAATCCTCGTGCCCGGTGTGCAGGACTCTCAGGATTTCGCAAGATATACGTAAATGCCACAGGCAGAGATTTGAGGATGAGGAGCTACTGACGACAGGCCTGTCAAGTGCAGCAAGAGTCCCCAGTGATACGCAATAGGAGGGCCATCCACCCCGGCCCCGCTCCCGCCCCAGTTCATATCCACCTGGAAATCAAGCGGAATCCAAGCAGAAAGCCGGATAATCCGCATAACCAGGCCGCAGAACACTTGCAGCCGCGGTGGCGACCACACGGCGGCTGGGCAGCTGGGATTCCTAGGAAAGGCAACAGCAGGAGAGGCAACACAGTTTGTAAGTCGGCAAAGTGCAATCTGTATAGCCAACCCACCTAATCACATGTTTGCCCCAAAACAGATTCGACGCATTCGAATGGAATTTGTTTGTTTCGCTAGCTCGTTGCCGCGTTGGATGCCACCAAACGAAAAAAGATGAACAATGAACAAGCGCCGTCATTATCGGACACACCGGCGGATCCGATCCCTGTGGGATCTGGAGGAGCAGCTGGCAAGCTGCCCACGATCATACCGGACACGCCCATCGTCTCGATTGCCGCTGGCACGATGAGCGAGAGCACGACCACGACCACAGCCACCAAAACGACGCCGACGCCGATCCCGCAGGAGCAGCTCATCACCATGATGTCGGATCATGTGGCGCCGCTGGATGTGGGGATGGCCGGCCTTGAACAGGCCTCCCGCAGCCCGGAGGTCAGAGACAGCAGCCAGAGAGCTCCAGCAGTGGGTGCCAACCACGTAGCAACCAGCAGTTGCAACAGCAACAGCAGCAGAGGCAGTGACCCCAAGAAGTCATCACCCCCAAGTAATAGCCATAGCTCTACTAACCACGCTGCAGCGACAGAGGCAGGAGCGGCAGGGGCAGGAGCAGGATCAGAAGACTCAACCTTCTCGCAGGTCTTCGCCATGCTGGCGGACTCGCCCAGTGCCGAACTGTCGCATCCGAACCGCAGAGTCCTTCAGTATGGAGCCACTGCTAAGGGCAAGACACAAGACGATCAGAATGTCGGCAAACGACAAAAGAAGAAAAAGGTAAGTACCTTAAAGGGGATATGAGAAGATATTTACAAAATCATGAGACTATAAACAGAAGCATAGGCAGAAATACAGCGGAATTCTTGATAAATAAGGACGTACTTTTATCAGGCACCTGATATATGCAGTATTCAGATGACTATGAAAATCAACAAGACATTTCCATAATTCATGATATTCATAATTCTCTAAAGAGAATCGTATTTGTAAAGTTGATCATTTCAATTTCTAGTTTATTGTTTTTCTACCTTCTACTACTTTTAATTAATGTTTAAAATAATATAATTCTTTATTCGGGGTATTGCCTCGCTCAGTCCGATTCATACGTCACATCTCAGTTTAAAATTTTTAAATTACATATCGATTATAATTGAATAAACATTCTATAAATATCGACTTGTTTTTCTGCAAAAATAGTTCCCACACATACACAAACACACTCATCCACTTCCACAAGCATTTACTAAAACCATAATTTATAAACTTAAATAAATAAATATGTGTAGTCTGTCGCTGATAAGTTTTGTTTACAATTATCTCTCTTACAAAGAAAAACACATGATAATAAGAATAAATAAATATCTTAGGGGGCCTATGAAGTGCTTACTGAGCTATTTTATTGAATGACTGATAGACTTGAAACACAGAATTTTTGTTAAAGAAAGTTGTTGTTATTGTATTAAGGACATTGGCAGTTAAAAAAAAAAACTGAACCAAAATATTTAAATAAGTTTTTATCAGTTATATTTAGTTTTTTTGACAAATTTTTTCTTATTTAAAGAAAGTTGCCAACTGGGAATATTTATAATATAAACAATTTACAATTTGTATTTAAATAAATATGCTTTCGCATTGCCCTATTGACTGTTTAATTTAAAGCTTTTGTACCGCTTAAGAAGATAATATCAAAGTAAAATTCGCAAACTAAAGCTTTTGAGGGGAAAAGAGATGGCTGAGCTGGATAAAAAGCCTGTTACCTACTGCCATCTCGTTCTGGTCAAAGAGGGCAGGCTTTTGAAAATGTACCGTTACATTTGGGCCGATCCAGTGAGTCCACACACACACACTATCTTAGAAGTGGAAAAGGAGAAAAGAAACGGAGAAAATCAAGAGAACTCGGAGTTCATTGGATTTTCGGCAGATTGCAGTCTTATTTTTTTTGGCTCGCGATTACGATAGCTATTCGAATTTAGATTCCGAATCGGAAAGGCAAACGAAAAGCCTAATAACCACAAAGAGTTGGATTTTATCTATCAACAACATTGGCGACAACCGCAAACCGCACAAATTCTTTTTTTCCCCTCTTTTAATACTATTCTTTAAGCACCATCTATTTTATTTATTAGAGCCGTGTGCTTTTTAATACTCCTATAACTTAAGGTTGGTATCTAAACATTTTGCTTAGGGAACTTAAAAGGGCATGTGTTTGGAATAAGTTGAGCTTCTGGCCCCATTTCGAGGTTAAGTCCGAACGATTGTTTATATGCGTGTGTATGTGTGTGTGTGTGGTTAGTACACCAAAAATAATTCATTAGCTAATGAAGAATTCTTTGGACTTGTTTGCAGACAAAATACGATGCCTGGGAGGATAGCGACTTTAATGATCTCGACGACGCATCATTGAAGAAACTTCTTGAGGAGGCATACTGGTATCGAAATCCTGGCGACAGGAAGAACAAGAGCGAGCGATTTCTGGTGAGTTTTTCGTTTTACATATGTAATTGTTTTGGGTGAAGGACCTATGATAAAAACCCCCAAAAATTGCAAGAAAACACAAAAATCTAGACAATGTTCTTATATAAATTTAAAGTACATGAAAACTGTCAATATTAAATGCTATACATATATGCAGTTCTTTTAAGGTCGACTAATTTATTTATATTGTGCATTTACTAGGTTAATAAGAAATACTTCTGGGATACAAACTAGTTTTATCTTTCCTCAAACTCTTCTTCTATGTGATCTCTTGGCCAAAATCTGTTTTCACTTAGTTACCACCAACTATTCTAACTTTTCACATCTCCGCTCCCACAGCAAATGCTCAAAAAGGCTGAGTACGACGAGGAGATCTCTCATCGTGCCAACAAATCCGGCCTCACACTCAACCCATCCGCACTAGCGTCCAGTGCAGCGGCAATTGGCTCGAGCGGCGGAGGCAGCAGCAGTGCAGGGCACAACAGCAGCTACAGCTCCAGCTCCAGCAATCACCGGTCCACGGATCCCGGCCAGCAGCGGCACAAGCAGGGCGGCTCCCTGCAGGATCTCGTCGAGGCGACGCACCGCAGCGAGCTGGCCACCACTTCTGCGGCGGCGGCGGCGGCTGCAGCGACGGCGGCGACAACGGCAGCAGCAACCCAACGTTTCAACTGTGATTACCAGCTGAGTGGCCGCTCGAATCGGCGCCAGCAGCACAACCAAAACGCCACCTCCTCCTCCGCTTCCGTCTCTGCCTCGAAGAAGATCAAGAACTCGTACGTGTCGGGTCGTCAGCGCGAAGGAGGCAGCCTGCCCAGCAGCGTTAACTTTGAGCCGGCTGCTGCCATGGATGCCAAGCAGCACAAGCAGCAGGCTCAGCTCTCAGAGTCTACATCTGGAGTTGGCTACAAGAACAAGCACCATCATCATCGCAGCAGCACCGGCAGCTGCAGCAGCCTGCCCAGCCATCTCAGCGATCGCGATCCGGAGGCGGCCATCCAGTTCGACATGGACGATGACAAGGCGACGGGTGCCGGTGCCGGTGCCAGCACTAGCGGCGTCCAGCACGACTACCTGTTGGAGGTAAGCGATGAAACGCTCCTGAGGTGGGCCGTCCATATGGATGGCAGGCTCTGGGAGAAAGCAGGGGCCCTCGTTAAAGCAGATGCGCCCGATCAGGCGGTAGGAGAGAGGCGCGCGTTTCCGTGATCGGTGGTCCGCCTAATCCGCCGTAAACTAAAATCAATACTTCCACCCTCTGTGTGCCTCTGATGCCTAATCAAGTTATGTGGCCACCCCGAAATCACACCCAAATATGTCCGTTTACATCATCATATGCATATCAACTCAAAGTATAGTAGCTTTACAGTAACTTTACAGCACAAAACGTTTCGGGTATGAATTTAAAGGGCGTTTATTTATATTTAAGCTGCGTTTGAAGTAATAACACTCGAATCTAAACATGTGGGTGCTTAAATTGCCGCTGTATAGTTGCCGATTTCTTTGCGACTTTTAAATTCGATTGTCAGACACTTTTTGGAATAGTACAGCAATGAAGAATTATTATATTTAATACCTTTCCAAATACTAGCAAAAATCACATCAGTGCTATTTCTTTGTCAACTCAAATAAGTGACTAACAAAGCAATCCCCGTGTTTTGCCCTTAAACCCAATCGAAAGTGCCTAGTTCTAACTCGAAATTTATGGCTATTTGGTATCCGCTACAGATGCAGACTGCATTAATAACCAATTTCCCCGCTTCACTCTCCGAACAGCAACTGGAGCCACAGAATCCCTCGATGACGTTCCTGCTCGACGCTCTTAGCGGCAAGCAGATGCAGCCGGCGGTGGCTAGAGAGGCCAGAGAGACCGGTGCGTCGGCCGGTGCGTCGGCCGGTGGTGCCGCCAAGGAGTTCCTAATCGACGATCCGTTGCACTTCTCCGTTTTGGAGGCGTCCGCCAGGAGCCAGCTGCAGCTGCAGGCCCACTACCTGGCCGCCATCACCGGACAGTTCGGGCTCGGATTGGAGGAGCAGAAGCGCAAGGTGGAGACCGGCTACGTGTCGCTGAACGACCACTACACGGCCTGCTCCTCAGTTTACGGCGGCGGCGCTGGTTCGCCGGCTGCCATCGAGGGCAGCAAGCCCTCGACCTCCTCCTCGACCTCGTCCGGCGGCAGTACCTGCGGCGCCCCCTCATCCTCCTCCTCCGACGCGCTCTCCGGCGACCTGCGTCCCGCCAAGATCGGACGCATGGTCTCCGCCGCAGCGTCGACGGCAGCTGCATCGATGGGTGGCAAGGCCACTACGGTGAGTCTTTCGTTTCATTTAGATTTGGATCAGAGTAGTTAGTATAATTCCAGCAGGATACATACATAGAATATGTATCAGCATTGTCCGTCCGTCTGTCAACTCAAATTAGTCTCTTTAAGATTTAGAACTATTCGTCGTAAACCCTTAAAAGTGGCCAAATCGGACGACTATATCATTTAGCTAATGATCAAATGATGACTTTGTTGTTTTATAGTTTCCATATTTTAAAAGTTGAACGACTACATCATATAGTTGTCACAGGAGCTTAATTGTTTTCAAACATATAAATTAATGTAGAGCCTTTTTATAAAATATATATTGCTTTTGTGACAGCTACATTTTGGTTTGTCGAAATTTGTTACCTTTCTTGTTTGAAAATGTATTAGCTTGTACCAAAGTACATATTTGACATATTTCCTTTTTAAGATACCTCTGCTGAAAAGACAAGCAACTCGTTGACCGAACTCTGAGTCAGCTATTTCTGCGGACAAACATGTATCCATTGTAAGCCATTCACTTTTCCAATTGCAGCGCCAGCTAGACGAGAATGGCAATGCATTGAGCGACGGCTACGGAGGCAACGCAGCCAGTGGAGTCGCCACCAGCAGCAATGGCAACCAGTTCACGGCTTTGATAACCACAACGGTGGGAGCGAGTGCAGTGACCTCGTCGATGCCGCACCGCCAGAACAGCGTGTCCACGCTGCTCTCCACGGGCACCAATACGGCCACCACGGCCATGGCAGCGGCGGCTGTGGCCGCATCCTACAGCCAGCTGCAGCAGGCTCCCGGCGGCGGCACAGTGGGTGCTCCCGGTTCGGGCATTGGCATTGGCATGGGCCTGCAGCAACAGCAGCAGCAGCAGCAGCATCAGCAGCAGCAGCCCACCAAGCAGAAGGCAAAGAAGAAGTCGCAGCAGGAACGAAACACGACCACCGTGGATGTGGAGTCGGTGGCCGGATACCGGGGCAACGATCCCGTCGAGCAGCTGGTCAAGTACATCGAGAACGATGTGAATGGCGGCGGCGGTGGCGGTGGCAACGGGAACGGGAGCGGTAACAGTGCGGCGGGGCAGCGCAAGAAGGAGCGCAAGAAACAGAACAAGCTCAAGAAGAGCAACTCGCTGGAGGAGCTGCGCAGCTGCTCCAAAATGGAGGTGGACGACCTGAAGCGCCAGTCGGCCACCACGGAGATGATGCGTCAGAAGAAGGGAGGCGGCGCCAACAATGCCTCCGGATCATCGTCCTCGGCCGCATCCGCATCCTCGGCAACGAGTGGCAAGCACAACTCGTCCTCCGTGGCGGACATAAACAAGAATTGCAACAAGGAGCAGCAGCAGCAGCAGCAGACACAAGTGCAGGTGCGCAACAGCAGCAGCAACAGTAATCCGGGATCCGGATCGCAGCAGCAACAGCAGCAGCAGCGGAAGGGAGGCGAGCGACGATCGTGGGGCACCGAGGAGCTGCAGTACTTGGGCGATCACCAGGAGATGACACCAGGAGCTTGGTCGGAACCGGAGACGACTGTCGGCGGCCAGAAGCAGCTGCCACTGGCGGCCGCCCTGGCCCGCATGTCCGAGCTGGATGCCCTGAACACTGTGCTGTCGGAGACCGCCGAATTCCATGTGGTGACCAAGAAGAAGAAACCAAAGAAGCAGCGAGCCGTCACCATGGACGATGCGGCCGTGGCGGCTGCTGCCAGCGCTGGCGGCAATCTGCAACGCATGCAGCAGATCACCAAGTCGGCCTCCTCCAATATGATGTCCCAGCGGACGCACTACTACACTCCCTACGGCAGCAACAACAACAACAACAACAAGCAGCAACAGCAGCAGCAACAGCAACAACAATATCAGGAACAAGCGGGACAGCAGCAGCAGCACCGTCATCATCACCATCATCACCACTATCATCACCATCATGGCGGATCGGCGGTGGCCAACCAGGTGGATGGCTCGCGTCGCAAGTCAACCTCGTCGATGCCGCCGTCCGAGAAGTCCGACTCCAGTGATCTCGACTCGGTCCACTCGCTGCCCATCCAGACGGGCAAGAAGAAGAGCCTGGGCGGCGGCAGCGGCGGCGGCGGCAGCAACAACAACAAGCAGCGCGCTGCCCAGGCTGCCAGTCAGCGAAGCCAGGCCAAGCAGCAGCAGCAGCAGCAGCAGAACATCAACTCCCCAGCACCCATTTCGTATGCGGATATTGCGAGGAACAAGCAGGAGGCCCTTAACAATGCCATCGCCAGCGACACGGAGTTGGAGCTGGGCGACAAGTTTCAGGCTTCCAAGGGTGGCGGCAAGTCCAAGGCGCGGCCCGACTTTCCAGAGCTGCCAGGTGCGGCAGCAGCAGCAGCAACAGCCACACCAGCGTCTGCAGGTGGAAGCATGACGACCTCACAGGTGGCACAGGCTAGCAACCAAAACACGGCGCCGTCCTCGTCCAGTTCGATCAGCTACTCACAGAGCCTGAATGCCACGCCCGCCAGCAGCAGCAGCGATGCGGAGTCCACCAACTCGCCGGAGCTGCAGCTGCAGGAGGCCACACCCATCCCAATGGCGGCCACGAGCAGCAGCAGCAGCAGCAGTTTTGCCGCCAGCAGCACATCATCCACAGCCATGGGCACATCCACCTCCATCTCCACGCCGCCGGCACTGCAAAAGTCGAAGAGCGTGGAGCACGATGCCAGCTACAGCTGCAACAGCAGCAACCTGGACCAGCAGTATCCGGCGCTGGAGAAGACCGTCAAGCGGCACAGCACCAGCAATGTGTCGGTGGCCGCTGCCGCCTCGTCCACTACCACGTCGACGGCCTCGTTGTACAATTTTGCAGCAGCAGCCAAGCAGCAGCTGGCGGAGAAGGCTTCATCCTCATCCTCCGCAGCAGCAACAGCAGCAACAACTACCTCAGCAACAGCAACAGCTCAAACTGCAGCCACAGTTCCTGGTTCGTCCGCATCCACAGCTCCAGCCACAGCACAGGCTTCAACTTCGACTACATCTCCTGCTTTAGCCCTGGCCTCGCTTAAGGCCAAGACCAAGCCAAAGGAGCTATCTCCTAGCAGCAGCAACAGCAGCAACAACAGCAGCAGCAACAGCAGCGGCGGCAGCAAGAAGCCAGCGGCGAAGCCTAGTCAAGAGGAGTCCATCACGCCCAAGACGACGACCACCACGCAAAAGACCACGGCTGCCACGCAGACCGAGGGAGTCAAGAAGCTGATTGGGGGCATCCACAAGCTGGCCACCAGCAGCAGCAGCAGCAGCAGCAGTAGCTGCATTGCCAAGGGAGCCGGCGCTGTTTTGGAGGCCACCGGCGGCAGACGCGCTGTGATCATATTGAACGATGATCGCGAAGCGGGCAGGAGCGCCAACAATGAGTTCATCTTTGGCGACTTCAACGAGGACGAACTGAAGCTCTTCGACGACAATTTAGAAGACGACCATGAAGATGCCGATCAGCAGCAGCAGCAGGAGGAGGAGGAGCAAGAGGAGCAGGAGGACCAGGAGGACCATCACAAGCAGGCCTCGAATAAGCATCAGCAGACGGAGGCGGCCGAATCGGATGCGGGCCAAGATGAAATCGAAGACCCAGACAGCGAGGTGGAGAATCAAGGCAAGCGATCGGCGATCAAGAGACAGGAGCAGGATGTGAGCGGCAGCAGTAATCAGCAGCTGAACGATTCCGGGACCGCTTCCGATGCGGTCAACAGCTCGACCAGCCTGGACATGCTCTCCATTTCGGCGGAGGCGGCACAGTCGTCACCGAACGCAACCGGGACAACGGCCAACTCGTCGAGCGCCGCCAGTCTAATTAACAACTCGTCCACGCCATCCGGTTCATCGTCGTCCGCCTCGGCGAGCACCTCGACCTCATCGTCCTCCGTCTCCATATCGTCCTCTTCGGGCGGAAACAGCAATGGCAATGGCAATGGCAATGGAAACGGAGCCACCTGTCTGGCCTCCATTTCGGGTATGCTCGGGGGAGTGGCCAATCAGTCGGGGGACGACAGCGGCATCTATGCGGCCGCCAACACGTCCATCAGGGAGCACGTCAACAACTTCCTCACCAAGGCCAGCATCAGCGAGGAGGCGCCAGCCATATCGATGCAGCAGCTGGAGACGTGCAACGACATCGAGGCAGCCATCATAGCCGCCGCCCGTGCCGCCGCCGCTGCGCGAAGCGCCAGCTGCAGTCGCAGCAACTCGCAGGAGCAGCAGGAGCTGCTGCCGCTGGCCAAGACGACCAAGACGAATCCCAATGCGGAGCCAAAGGTGGCAATGCCCGTGTTCATGGCCTACAACGACGATGACGAGGAGGACGACGAGAGCCTGCAGGAGCTGAGCTTCATGGCCGACCTCAAGGCGGACGCTGGCACGACGCCCGCGGAGGCGGAGGAGATCACAGTGCTGCCCTCCGCCCAGCCCTCGCGTCCGGCGATGATGACCAACACGGAACTGATTGTCGACTATATCGCCAACAGTAAGTGCTTACTTTCCTGATTTCTGCACTCCTACTTTTGTCTAATATTTGCCCAATCATCCATCTACTATCTACTGACATTGTTGTTAAACCATTGCAGCCTGGAATGCCATTGCCAATAGCAAGTATGTCACCTACTATACCGAGCAGGAGACCTAGGAATCTAGGAACTTAGGAACCTAGGAACCAACCGAGTCAGTTCAGTTCAGCAATCGCTGAAGCATCAGCGACATGCCAGCAACACCATCAGCAACAGTAACACCAGCAACATCAGCAACATCAACAACACCAGCAACATCAGTAACATCAGCAACACCAGCAACACCAACAGCAACAGCAACGTCAGCAATATCGATAGCAATTTAACGAGAGCATCGAACATTGGCTGAAAGCTGAAGTGGAGTGGAGTGGAGTGGAGTTTAGTTCGAATTGCATGTTCTGATGTTTATATATTCTTCTTTTTTTTTTACTTTGTGCTGGGCCATCTCGTTTATGCATACACTATAAATAATTGCTATAACAATACGCTTTTATGCTAATTAATGTTACGAATGTAAACGAATCGATAGCTTAACTATTGATTACAATTTCGAGTGCGAGGGCAGAAGTTGTAGGGAACAGAGCTGTCCGATATGAGGTATTGGGAAGTATGAGATCTAATTAGATGCATGTCAAGGATGTAGGGGCGTGGTTCCGGTTCAGCCAGCCTAATCGGTAATCCATCGCCTGGAGAGGATAAAAACAAAAAACGAAAAAAAAACATAAAAACACAAAAAAAAACACACGGGGGACTTTGAACAATAACGAGAAGAAAAAACCCTCGATCCGTTCGTACAGCTGTGAATAAGTTGGAAAACATAACTAAGAAAGTGAACTTAAGAGAGAAAGTAATCGGAATTAGAGGATATTTATTTAACGTTAGTTAACAGCGATTTAAACGTTTCTTCGCCACGAGATGCGATGCATAGTGATGTTCAATCAAGCATTTTGATCTGCTTTTGTTAATTTACAACCTTCTGGCTCCTTAAAACGCAACGTTTTACCATTACTATTACCATTTACTATTTACTATATACTATTACTCTACATTAAATATAATTACTATTATTACGCAACCGTTTTTTTTTTTTTTTACCTTTGTTTTGCAACACAAACACAAACGCAAATTCAGAAAGTAATACTAATCCAATCCTAGTTCTTTAGGCTTAGGCACAGAGTCAACGTCACGTGTACATATGTATGAGACCAGAACCAGGAGTTGAGCAGGTTGAGCAGGTTGAGGCAGTTGCAGTTCGAAAATTTGAGTTTATGTTTTAGGGAGGATGGAAGTGTTAGAAAGAGAGCCCAACGGAAAATATTTGATATGTGTGTGTGTATGATAGCGATAACGACTATTTAAAGTAAACTATGTAAGGCCCGCTCCTTAGCTCCGGCTAGCCATAAATAAGCCTCATGAGGAAAGTATGTTAAACAGAATAACCGCAAAAACAGCAAAAACCAGCAAAAACACTAAAAACTATTGCGCACTTACGAAAAATGCCGCCGTTTAGCAGTGAGGGCCTCAGAAGGTCTCTCCAAAGGGTAAAATAATAAAAGAAAAACATAGTTATCGTCGTAACCATTAAAGCAGAAAATCGAAAAAAAAAAAAAAAAAAAAAAACAAAAAAACTGAACCGTAGAGGATGACATGATTTTTTGGAGACGGAGAAACAAAATAAACGTTAAGTGAACTCGTAGCATAGAAAGCGCTACTAAATTGCTATATCTAGGAATATACATACATTATATACGCGCGCATCTATTAACGTAACTTTTTTTTGATAATGCAAAACGTTAACCGTTTAAAATCGATTAAGTGAGAGTAGGAAACAGTTTAGTCTAAAGAAATGTCATGGGAAAAACAAGATACAGAAAACAAAAAACAATACACAATTGAAATAATCTAAAGAGCTAAACGAGGAAAACCTATTTAAAAAGCTAATCATTAAAACACCCAAACTGGAATGCCTACTCTCTAAGACCTAATAAGCAGAACAAACAGTGCGAAATGTTTTCAAACATACTATAATATGTGAAACTGTTTTGCTTCAATTGGAATTCAATGTGCTGTATATTTTGAGAATAAACGTAAAGTAAAATGCCGACAAAAAGTGAAGACAAATATTCTATGCCCTATGCCCCGAATCCTGAATCCCCCAAATACGCAACACTCGGCCAGAGTTGTTGCTGTACCGCTCTAAACCATGTAAGCCAACCGACACAGAATCAAAAACTAGAGCCAGAAAAATTTGAATAAGTTGCAGAATGGATATATGAATATGAAATATTAAATATATGTATTTGTACCACACGCATTAAGGAGAATCTAAGAAAATTACACTTGTTTACAAATTTGGCCCTTTTGGCGGTTACCTTGAAGAGCATTATAGTTTCTAATTTATTAGAGGCTGCTGAAGACGAAAGTGTTATTCGCTAATTCTATTAAAGAACTGTTCTTTAGTCTGAAAATCAAATGAACTGTAGGTTCAATCGGAAGATAATGTTTACTTACATAGAGAACATAAAATTATTTATACAGAAATGAGTGGTTTTTGGTAGGAGGACTTCTGTAATATCTCCCTAACTGAATGTGACCATTGTCTTTTTTTATTCGGTAAATTATATTCCAAACCTATATTATTTCCAAAGGTATACAATATCTGCTAGTTGAACCTATCGTTCCCGAAGTTTTATGAAAATTACATTAGTTTTCGCGAGAATCTCAAGAAGTGTTCTTCCATGTTAATTTTCGGTATACATTTTCGATTTTAGCGAACTCGAATTATTCTCAGAAACGTGTTTTTAAAGAGGTACATATTTCGTGTAAACTAGTGTTATATACAACCACTAAGTCAAACTATGCCAATGTACACTGCAACAATTTTAGACAATTGAGAACTAATGAGTAACAAAAAACGCAAAACCGAAAATATGGAAAACAAAATTGAAATTTAATTATACGCTAGGCCAGTAACTAAAACTAACACTAAAATATTATAAATTACATATAAACAAAAGGAAAACCACAAAAAAAAAAGTTTCTTATGTGTGTATTTATGTAAAATATATATTGTAGCTGTGTGTATGTGTATATAAATAGTAAATTTGTGACTCAAAGAACAAAAACGACAAAAAACACAGAGAAACATATGAAGGATCAGAGGCAGACGTTAATAATCGGACATTTCGTTTCCCCGCTATAAAGTAAACGCCCATTTTCGATAATATTCGTAGGACGAGGGTGGCTCGAGCTTGCAGTTTGAAGGCTGCGATGTCGTCGGTTAACAGACCAAAACTAGAATTGTTTAAGTTCCGCCCGTTTTTTTTTTTGCGTAGCTAGCGTATTGTTCAATTTATCGGTTATCTGTTATCGGATATCGGAGTAATCGCTCGAATTGCGTACAGTCCAACCTGCTTTATTTCCGTCTTGAGTGCACTTGTTGAGTTTGGAATACAAAATAACAATAACTGGAAACGGAGTGGCGAGAATTAGAGCAGCGAGAGCGCAGTGGGAACTATAATCATAGATATACTTACTTATACAGAAATCTACGACTAAGTCTATTGGATAGCTAAAGAAGAACTCTATGAACACCTATTTGATACGTTAGGCCAGTGTGAATGGATCGAGTTGCAGATCAAGATGTTTATAAGCGTGTGAATGGTGCTAACTTTAAACTTGGTACAGGTCTAGTAGCATGGGGACTTGGGCCCAAAAATCACCTAAGGGAAATCCTTGATGGATCGTAAATTTCGGTTTTCTTTTTTATTCCATTTTTGTCGTACTAAATTTGGTTAATATTTGCAATACAAAATTGATAAACTCTATATGTAAAAACCGCTATTATAGTTTATAATATTAGGCTAAAATGGGTTTTCATGTAAATTCGTAGTAATTAGTAGTCCATAGAGAAGTTTTATTTGTGATTTGGCTTTCGGTCCCCGTACTAGAAAATAACCCTAAATTGATTTAAATGTATACATTATTCTATTTCTATATACACATATGTACTCGACAACTACTTCTGACGAAGTCTACTATTAACACCCGATTCCCGATCCCCCAAACCCAAAACCCCAAAACCCTACCTAAACATAACTTAAGAATCAGTTCGAAAAAGGTCCCATTACCGATTAACCAATCTACTGAGCAGCAACTGAGAGGCGTAATTGAATGGGAAATCTAAATTTAATTCAAAATGTGTTTAAAATATTATATACTGGAGAGAAGTGTGTTTCTGTGGAGAATCGAAATAAAAATTAACAAAAAAAGAAAAGGATTGCTTTCGATTTTCCAGCTTTTTCTATACCATACGTTTTCAAATGATTTTGGTGGGTGTGGCTCAATGATGATTGATGATTGATGATGGTTACTTTTCCGGACGAAGAACATGGACCGCCTGGAAAGGAGGGGTCCGTCGGGAGTGGTCTGCTTGCGACGCCCATTCAGACGGATGATTTCGTTCAAGACGACGTCTACGGCCATGTTGCGATCCCCGTATTTTGACTACTCTAATGATGTATGTTTACTTAGTTAGGTCGGAAATGCCATCTTGTCAAGCCTTTACAAGGTTTAGAGTATAATTTTTATTTTTTTGCTTAGCTGGTGCCTCTAGAGTCGTTTTATCGTTAAAAACTCTGCACACAGAAGACGTAGTTTCAAAATAAATTTTGTTTTGATAAAAATAAATTAAAATCATCAATAATCAATATCTTTGAGTTTTATTTTTTTTTTATCAAAAATCATTAAAAATGATTTTATTTCTTTGCTCAAAAATAATTATCTTCTTTAAGGATAATTATATAAAATAAAAATTGTTTTTGTATGACTTTTTAAGTGATTGATTTTTTGATTTAAAAATTCATTTAAATAGAAACCAGAGTCTCAATTCAAATATGAAAATATTTCGCTAATTATTAAAATAGAAGCAGGTTTATTTAAAGAGCTCATTAAAAATTCACAATCTGGATTAGAAAAATTAGATTATGATTATCCAGCATAAACACTGTCAAACAATATTTTTATTGCGCCCAAGCCGCCCAAAAGTATGCCACATTCTACCATTTCAAGCCTATAGTATAATGAAGTATTGCGTATTTATAGCTTCTGGTTCCCACTAAAATTAAAAAAAAAAAACAAAAAATGTTTAAACAAAGCTAAAAATGATTTGTGTTCGTTCCTATGGAAACGAATAATTTTAACAATTAAGGTACATATGTACATATATTAGAAATAATTCTCGTACAATTCCCTTAGCTGGGACACAATCCAGCAGCAGAATGGTTGTAAGACAGGGAACGTAAGCCGATTGAGTATATTGTTTATATTTATTTGCTTTAAAAACTAGCAGATAAAAAATCAATAAATTATATGTATGTTAAATGATTTTAGTATTGCCAGAATAGACTTTAAGGCATTTGATATTTGCCATATTGCTGGGCAGTGTGACCGTTTGCCTGCCGTTTTTTAGGCAGTGGCTGGCTGTGCCGCACGCAGATTGCCCGTTTGTTTGTTTTAACAAGTTAAACATAACGCCTCTCCAAATTGCCGCAGGATGTCGGAGGTCCGCATTCGCCCGCGCCAGGTCCTGATCCTGATCATCGTCTTCCTGGTGGTCCTGATGATGGTGCACCGGAACGGAAAGCGCACCTGCCAGGGTCCGGAGTACCTGCAGGCCATGTTCGCCCAGGCGGACACGTTGCCCACGATCTACGCCGTGACGCCCACGTATCCACGACCCGCCCAAAAGGCGGAGCTGACCAGGTGGAGTACCCAATTTTTATATGCCCCCCGCCCCATATAATGCTCTGTGTTTGCACCCAACCCAGATTGTCGCACCTGTTCATGCTCTTGCCACACCTGCACTGGATCATTGTGGAGGATGCCAACAGCACCACGTCGCTGGTCAGGAACCTGCTGGAGAGAGCCGGCCTGGAGAAGCGCTCCACGCAGCTGAACACCAAGACTCCGCCGGAGTTCAAACTGCAGGGCAAGGATCCCAATTGGATAAAGCCACGCGGCGTGGAGCAGCGGAATCTGGCCCTGGCCTGGCTACGCAACCACGTCGATGTGGACCGGCACTCGATCGTGTTCTTCATGGACGACGACAACTCCTACTCCACGGAGCTCTTCGCCGAGATGGCCAAGATCCAGAGGGGTCGCGTCGGCGTCTGGCCGGTGGGCCTGGTCGGCGGACTGATGGTGGAGCGACCCCTGCTCAACGAGGAGCGCACCCAGGTGACGGGCTTCAATGCCGCCTGGCGACCGGAGCGCCCGTTCCCCATCGACATGGCCGCCTTCGCCATCAGCATGGACCTGTTCATCCGCAATCCGCAGGCCATGTTCTCGTACGAGGTGCAGCGGGGCTACCAGGAGAGCGAGATCCTGCGCCACCTGACCACGCGGGACCAACTGCAGCCGCTGGCCAATGGCTGTCGGGATGTGCTCGTCTGGCACACGCGCACCGAGAAGACCAAGCTCAACGCCGAGGAGGCGCTGCTCAAGAAGGGCCAGCGATCCGACGGCGGCATGGAGGTCTAACCTCCGCGATGTATACATAGTATACTTAGCCAGCCCCTCGCCTAGTGAATTTACTTACTGTGTTCGTCTCCAAAAACTATGGGGGTGTCACACTGTATCTTTATCCCACATCAAAATGTTCCCCCAAAGTTTAACTTCTTTGTCATTTAACACAAATATCCTTAACTTTGTAAAAACTGGTTTAATTGCAGCTCAATTATGTTAGGCAAAAAGACAAGCTTTGTAAAGTGCAATTTTATTTTAGGATTTAGATCGTTGTAGTTGATGAAATTAAATTGACAAAGCAGGAGATTACAAACCAAAGGATATTTTTTGTAACACCCCTGAGTATTAGCGCAAATTTGATTTATAAAAATACTACTAGTTGTACAATGCTCAAATCAAAGTTGTAACATATCTGTGTAAGGTAGTCCCTAGTCTATCAGCATGATAGTCATCTTCAAACCGTATCAGATATCAAATCATTTTACCTCAGAAAACGAAAGCCCCAAATCGTGCCTTCCGTTTACAGTGCATAAAACGAATTTTCCGAATAAAGTGGTACCCTTTTAATCATACAACAACGCTTTAATTTACCTCGTTTAATTGTATAATATTCCAAAAGATATTGTACAACACACGCATAGTGTGCAGAATGTTATGTAAGCTTTCCTTGTGCGCCTCCTGTTCAATACCAATAAAATTGATAATGAAAAGAATCATTTCCGACCGCATAAAGTATTTATACATTCTGGATCAGCATATTTAGACGAGTTTATATCAGTTCAGAAGCCAGAGACATAAAACTGCCGCAATCGTTTTAATTAAATGTGTAAGCAGAACAAGTTTGCAACCGACACAGATCGGACGTAAAACAATCGGATGAACTTTCAACGAATTCAACGTTTGACCATTATTTCCCAGGGTTTTGACAGAAAAACGGAGTTTTTAATGTGTTTTTTGGGAAATTGGTTGATTTTCAACATTTTGAACTGTGAATGCCATTCGATTGGAAATTTTATGACGAATTCAACGGTGTATGACATTTATTTCCCAGGGTTTTGACACAAAAACCAAGTTTTAAATGTGTATTTTGGGTTTTTGCAGATATTTCAAACAGAATTAGTTCCTGAGAGTCTTTTTGTTGTAACTTTGCCAAAATAAGACTCATAGCCAAAAGAGTTGCTGTTTTGAACAGCTGGCAACCTATATAATCCATCCCCGATCGATTAAAATAAATAAATATTTGTTTGGAACAGAAACCGAATTTTGAAAAACGATTTTTGAAGAATTTATTTTTTGTCCAATTTTCTGACTTTTTTGTAAGGGGGTACATCATCATTTTTTGCGGAAATTGGTTGATTTTCAACATTTTGAACTGTGAATGCCATTCGATTGGAAATTTTATGACGAATTCAACGGTGTATGACATTTATTTCCCAGGGTTTTGACACAAAAACCAAGTTTTAAATGTGTATTTTGGGTTTTTGCAGATATTTCAAACAGAATTAGTTCCTGAGAGTCTTTTTGTTGTAACTTTGCCAAAATAAGACTCATAGCCAAAAGAGTTGCTGTTTTGAACAGCTGGCAACCTATATAATCCATCCCCGATCGATTAAAATAAATAAATATTTGTTTGGAACAGAAACCGAATTTTGAAAAACGATTTTTGAAGAATTTATTTTTTGTCCAATTTTCTGACTTTTTTGTAAGGGGGTACATCATCATTTTTTGCGGAAATTGGTTGATTTTCAACATTTTGAACTGTGAATGCCATTCGATTGGAAATTTTATGACGAATTCAACGGTGTATGACATTCCAACTTTAGACCATTATTTCCCAGGGTTTTGACACAAAAACCAAGTTTTAAATGTGTATTTTGGGTTTTTGGAGACATTTAAAAAAAAATTATTTCCTGAGAGTCTTTTTGTTGTAACTTTGCCAAAATAAGACTCATAGCCAAAAGAGTTGCTGTTTTGAACAGCTGGCAACCTATATAATCCATCCCCGATCGATTAAAATAAATAAATATTTGTTTGGAACAGAAACCGAATTTTGAAAAACGATTTTTGAAGAATTTATTTTTTGTCCAATTTTCTGACTTTTTTGTAAGGGGGTACATCATCATTTTTTGCGGAAATTGGTTGATTTTCAACATTTTGAACTGTGAATGCCATTCGATTGGAAATTTTATGACGAATTCAACGGTGTATGACATTCCAACTTTAGACCATTATTTGCCAGGGTTTTGACACAAAAACCAAGTTTTAAATGTGTATTTTGGGTTTTTGGAGACATTTAAAAAAAAATTATTTCCTGAGAGTCTTTTTGTTGTAACTTTGCCAAAATAAGACTCATAGCCAAAAGAGTTGCTGTTTTGAACAGCTGGCAACCTATATAATCCATCCCCGATCGATTAAAATAAATAAATATTTGTTTGGAACAGAAACCGAATTTTGAAAAACGATTTTTGAAGAATTTATTTTTTGTCCAATTTTCTGACTTTTTTGTAAGGGGGTACATCATCATTTTTTGCGGAAATTGGTTGATTTTCAACATTTTGAACTGTGAATGCCATTCGATTGGAAATTTTATGACGAATTCAACGGTGTATGACATTCCAACTTTAGACCATTATTTGCCAGGGTTTTGACACAAAAACCAAGTTTTAAATGTGTATTTTGGGTTTTTGCAGATATTTCAAACAGAATTATTTCCTGAGAGTCTTTTTGTTGTAACTTTGCCAAAATAAGACTCATAGCCAAAAGAGTTGCTGTTTTGAACAGCTGGCAACCTATATAATCCATCCCCGATCGATTAAAATAAATAAATATTTGTTTGGAACAGAAACCGAATTTTGAAAAACGATTTTTGAAGAATTTATTTTTTGTCCAATTTTCTGACTTTTTTGTAAGGGGGTACATCATCATTTTTTGCGGAAATAGGTTGATTTTCAAGATTTTGAACTGTGAATGCCATTCGATTGGAAATTTTATGACGAATTCAACGGTGTATGACATTCCAACTTTAGACCATTATTTCCCAGGGTTTTGACACAAAAACCAAGTTTTAAATGTGTATTTTGGGTTTTTGCAGATATTTCAAACAGAATTATTTCCTGAGAGTCTTTTTGTTGTAACTTTGCCAAAATAAGACTCATAACCAAAAGAGTTGCTGTTTTGAACAGCTGGCAACCTATATAATCCATCCCCGATCGATTAAAATAAATAAATATTTGTTTGGAACAGAAACCGAATTTTGAAAAACGATTTTTGAAGAATTTATTTTTTGTCCAATTTTCTGACTTTTTTGTAAGGGGGTACATCATCATTTTTTGCGGAAATAGGTTGATTTTCAAGATTTTGAACTGTGAATGCCATTCGATTGGAAATTTTATGACGAATTCAACGGTGTATGACATTCCAACTTTAGACCATTATTTGCCAGGGTTTTGACACAAAAACCAAGTTTTAAATGTGTATTTTGGGTTTTTGCAGATATTTCAAACAGAATTATTTCCTGAGAGTCTTTTTGTTGTAACTTTGCCAAAATAAGACTCATAGCCAAAAGAGTTGCTGTTTTGAACAGCTGGCAACCTATATAATCCATCCCCGATCGATTAAAATAAATAAATATTTGTTTGGAACAGAAACCGAATTTTGAAAAACGATTTTTGAAGAATTTATTTTTTGTCCAATTTTCTGACTTTTTTGTAAGGGGGTACATCATCATTTTTTGCGGAAATTGGTTGATTTTCAACATTTTGAACTGTGAATGCCATTCGATTGGAAATTTTATGACGAATTCAACGGTGTATGACATTCCAACTTTAGACCATTATTTCCCAGGGTTTTGACACAAAAACCAAGTTTTAAATGTGTATTTTGGGTTTTTGCAGATATTTCAAACAGAATTATTTCCTGAGAGTCTTTTTGTTGTAACTTTGCCAAAATAAGACTCATAGCCAAAAGAGTTGCTGTTTTGAACAGCTGGCAACCTATATAATCCATCCCCGATCGATTAAAATAAATAAATATTTGTTTGGAACAGAAACCGAATTTTGAAAAACGATTTTTGAAGAATTTATTTTTTGTCCAATTTTCTGACTTTTTTGTAAGGGGGTACATCATCATTTTTTGCGGAAATTGGTTGATTTTCAACATTTTGAACTGTGAATGCCATTCGATTGGAAATTTTATGACGAATTCAACGGTGTATGACATTCCAACTTTAGACCATTATTTGCCAGGGTTTTGACACAAAAACCAAGTTTTAAATGTGTATTTTGGGTTTTTGCAGATATTTCAAACAGAATTATTTCCTGAGAGTCTTTTTGTTGTAACTTTGCCAAAATAAGACTCATAGCCAAAAGAGTTGCTGTTTTGAACAGCTGGCAACCTATATAATCCATCCCCGATCGATTAAAATAAATAAATATTTGTTTGGAACAGAAACCGAATTTTGAAAAACGATTTTTGAAGAATTTATTTTTTGTCCAATTTTCTGACTTTTTTGTAAGGGGGTACATCATCATTTTTTGCGGAAATAGGTTGATTTTCAAGATTTTGAACTGTGAATGCCATTCGATTGGAAATTTTATGACGAATTCAACGGTGTATGACATTCCAACTTTAGACCATTATTTCCCAGGGTTTTGACACAAAAACCAAGTTTTAAATGTGTATTTTGGGTTTTTGCAGATATTTCAAACAGAATTATTTCCTGAGAGTCTTTTTGTTGTAACTTTGCCAAAATAAGACTCATAGCCAAAAGAGTTGCTGTTTTGAACAGCTGGCAACCTATATAATCCATCCCCGATCGATTAAAATAAATAAATATTTGTTTGGAACAGAAACCGAATTTTGAAAAACGATTTTTGAAGAATTTATTTTTTGTCCAATTTTCTGACTTTTTTGTAAGGGGGTACATCATCATTTTTTGCGGAAATAGGTTGATTTTCAAGATTTTGAACTGTGAATGCCATTCGATTGGAAATTTTATGACGAATTCAACGGTGTATGACATTCCAACTTTAGACCATTATTTCCCAGGGTTTTGACACAAAAACCAAGTTTTAAATGTGTATTTTGGGTTTTTGCAGATATTTCAAACAGAATTATTTCCTGAGAGTCTTTTTGTTGTAACTTTGCCAAAATAAGACTCATAGCCAAAAGAGTTGCTGTTTTGAACAGCTGGCAACCTATATAATCCATCCCCGATCGATTAAAATAAATAAATATTTGTTTGGAACAGAAACCGAATTTTGAAAAACGATTTTTGAAGAATTTATTTTTTGTCCAATTTTCTGACTTTTTTGTAAGGGGGTACATCATCATTTTTTGGGGAAATAGGTTGATTTTCAAGATTTTGAACTGTGAATGCCATTCGATTGGAAATTTTATGACGAATTCAACGGTGTATGACATTCCAACTTTAGACCATTATTTCCCAGGGTTTTGACACAAAAACCAAGTTTTAAATGTGTATTTTGGGTTTTTGCAGATATTTCAAACAGAATTATTTCCTGAGAGTCTTTTTGTTGTAACTTTGCCAAAATAAGACTCATAGCCAAAAGAG